CGCCTTGTGAGGATCGATTTCGCATAACGGATCGATTGTTTAACGATCGTCTGTCCGAGTAAATCCGTAAAAGATATAATGCTACGGTTGTGCTGCACTTTTTGAAAGGAAGTCGTGCTTAGGGTTGCTCATTTTCAGGAATTAAGTCTGCTATCTGACTAATTTATTTACCTAATTAAAATATCATTTACCTACTTTGATAATTTGAACATCCAAAAAGGTTCATCATCATCATCATCATTTCAGCCATAGGATGTCTACTGCTGAACATAGGCCTCCCCCAATGATTTCTACATCGCACGGTTGGTAGCGGATTGCATCCAGCGCTTTCCTGCTACCTTTATCAGGTCGTCGATCCACCTTGTGGGTGGTGAAAAAAGGTTCAAAGTAACATAATTTAATAATTATGCTACCATCATTTCGGTACATATCGGCTAGTGCTGAGAAGCCAATGCAATGGGACCTGGTTTCACTGGGCCCCATTGGCCAAGATTTTAGCATGGGAACATAATTCCTTAGATCGAGTAGAGTCCCTGTTTGCTGGACCTAGCTGATATCGATACCTACTGAAGTGAAAGTCAGTAATTTATATTAACAACACAACACAAAAGAAGATAGATAGAGAAATAAATAATAAGAAAAGAAAGAAATATACAAAAAAGATGTCACAATCACAATTTGGTGAGGGTCGTGGGAGGTGCAGGACCGGTCCTTGTGGAAATCCTTGGGGGAGGCCTTTGTCCAGCAGTGGACGTCTTTCGGTTGAAACGAACGAACGAACGTACGATGTTACAACATGATGAAGTCTGTAATTTGTGTGGTATTTTTTTGTGTAATATTTTTGTGACCAGTAATCCAGTGGCATCCCTCGTGCATTTCAAGAGTGCCGGCGCCGGGAAACGCGGCAATAAAAGACATGCAAAATGTCATTGTACGCAAACGACTCGATGCGCCTGCGCTGAAACCCAATCGCGGCACGTATCAGGGCTAGTACTACGAAACGCTGTTTCCGTAGTATCGACTCTATCTGTCACCGTCGCTCATGCTAGCTTCTCGCTTTGCGTGAGAGGGATGGTACTATTCGAAACTTCAGATTAACCCCCCAGAGTAACCCCCCAGTTCAAGAGTTTGCATGCGAAACGCAGTTCAAGGCGCATTCACGCGGGTCGAAGCCGATATATGAAAACAACGTTGTTGTATGTGAAAACGGAAGAAGTGTTCTTACGCGGTACCTCACACTTTTATCATAGATCAATATTGCACATCCTACAAACTATATTATGCTAATGAAATGGACTTTGATCCGGGCTCTTTGTAAAATATATACTTACGGTAACTAGTACGGAACGTCTGTGTCAGGAGTCACAGGGCTTAAACTCATTATTAGTGTATGATACTATCATGCTACTACGACAGTCATCTATAGTAATAAACTAATATTATAAAGCTGAAGAGTTTGAACGTGCTAATCTCAGGAAAATTAGCGATCCGATTTAAACAATTAATTTTGTGTTGGATTTCCCATTTATTGAGGAAGACTTTAGGCTATAATAATCAAACGTCCTTTGAGCTCAGAACTTCCGAAGTTCAATAAACTGTGAGCACATTAATTGGGTACTTTAACCAAAATCGCAAAAGTGCCGAAGACAAAAAACATATAGCCACTAGGGGGAGCAGTAATGAAAAATGTTTCAAAAACTGAAATTTTCAAAACTATTTTCATGCGCACGAAGTCGCGGTCACAGCTGGTGCCAAATAAAATAATAATTAACAGCTTCATTTCGAAATTCAGGTCACATTCAATTTAAATCACATTCAAGATGTTTGTAATTTTGTAATTTTTATGTTCGGTTTTATTTCATAAATAATGATTTTCTTATTTATTGATTAAATGACCATAAGTCCTGTACTTAACGTCCTGTTTTTCCTGTTCAAGATAAGATGTGGCCAATGCCAAATATAGAGACATTTGTTCAGTATCATGACACATTTCACAGTATAATAACATCGAATATAATGTGAAAAATGCGCTCGGTTTGACGACCGCGATGCATGTTGGCCACACTCGCAAACATTGGCCGAAGTTGATTTGCGAGTTTGTGTATTTGACAAAATCCATTCGCTGTAGTAGCACGGCCGGTGCGTAAGCGACCCCGGTCAGTTTGCGTTTCGGTGGTTTGGTGTTGTTGACGGAACGACAAAGTGGGAAATGATCTTGGTGATAACGAGTGATATCTTGTGAAAAGTGAAGTGATATTTTTGTCTATCGGCAACAGACAACGACAATTTGGATCTACTTAATTTTCAAACTGAACTTTAACTTTACTCGTAGTAGTAAATTGATGTCCTTCAAGTCTACGCTGATGCTTAATTATCTTAAAAGACTTCCTATTTTTAGAGAATTGATAACACATTAGGTATCAGTCTTTAGATTAAAAATAATAACATAACCTCAATTTAACTGATAACTTTTTATTATTGAAGTTTAAGTTCAAACTTACATTACTGAATTTAAAACATCAAAACATTTAAAAGATACAACGAATTATTTCAAAGCCTATGGATGATTTTACTGTATGTACGGACGATAGCATAATAAAGCTTTTTTTTATGCATATCAAAGCAGATATTTGACCACAATCGCACCTGATGTTAAGTGGGATGCAGTCTAGGATGGTACATATCTGCCCTGTAAGTGCCTATTTACTCTCGTCTTGAAAACGCCCGGATTATAGTCTTCGGGAAAGACAGATAATCACTAATATGTTATACGAGTATACTTAGTTGTATTAAATGCGATTTTGGAACAAAAATGTGTGATAGTGATGTGTATCATGTCCTGGGGACTGTACATAAATAATATATTATTTTGAAATAACCCGAATTATTTCACATGTAGAGGCAATAAACAACTGAAACAATATTTAGTTGATAACGTATCGTCACAGCTCCATGACCGTTTTTAATGAATCGCCTTTATCGCCTCAGTCCAGTGGTTAGAGGTGGGCTCTATCGATCCGAAGGACCTGGGTTCTATTCCTGGGCGAAACAAAGTGAAGTTTATTGTTCAAAGTTTGGTTAGGTTGGAGAAACTGGGGACACTTGATCCCCCTTTTGTTTTTTAGCCATTATTTCGTAAATATTGACCGATTTGAAAAATCTTGGTACTGAAATAGGTAGTACGTGGAATTTCATTGGCTATACTAAGTATAATAGCTATTTAATAGTATATTTTTCACACGAAGGAAAATCATTAAAATATTTTTTTCAATTTTGAACTGACTTTTTGCTATTTCCTGGCGTAATTTTATTAATTATTAATATATACATTAGTATAGCAATACTTTGTTTTGACCGCAACTACACTTGAGTGGTTTAATATGACCCAAATCAACATTGTTTATTGTGCGCTCCTAGATCTAAAAACACTGTCGTAATTTAAACTATTCAGAATAAGATTTGTGACACAAATTCATATGAATTTTCATGTCTTTACCATGAAAAAATCACGAGTTCCCATAGAAAACTATCCCATGTATCAACACACAGATAGAAGGGTTACTCATAATGCAACAAATTAATCTTACTTACCTATCAATGAATTTCGTTTCTGCGTACAAAGACAATGCATTAATTTTATAAATATATTTGAATCGTGTGGATTGTTTCAAATTGCTACTCAATATAAAGACTTATTGTAATGTGGTTGTGGGAACATTGCAGGAAACGATAACATATCTACGCTCCAATACATTCTAGCGAACAGTAGCAAACTGGACATGGAGGATACTGCAGTCTATTATTAAATAATTACATGAATACACGTGTTTATATTTATTTATTTCGGACTTATAAAATAACACTATGAAGTTAAATGTGGTGGTACTTTTAATCGTGTGCTGTGTTGTGCCAGTGTTGAGTGACAAACTGAAGAAAGGTGACCCGCACACTTGTCAGGAGAACTTGGTGTAAGTTTAAGAAAGACACTCGGCTTGAAAGTTTTTTGAAATAACTTCTTTGCGCTTATATTCTAATAATAGAAGGACAGATTTAACTTGATCATCTTCATCAGATCATTTTCTCAGAGGCAAACGCAAGTTGTACTTCCCACACTAATCGGGTTGGGGATCTTGGGATGATGTTCAAATTTTTTTTTTAATAGATCGACAGTTTAAAGGCTAAATTCGACTTCTAAGAATATGTTTTTATTATTATAAAATATCTCGTATTTGGTGAGAGATTTTTTCTGTATGAAGAATTTCTGTTCAAGATCACTTACTTAGAATGTCAATTTAAAATATTAATAATGTTTATTATTATAGCGAGTAGTCATGCTCATGTTAACAGTTTAAAACAAGATTTTCTGACTACATTTTTCACGCGTAAACTACTGAACGCATTTTGATTAAGTTAATTGGCCGATTTACAACGAAAGGTGTCAAGAAGGTAATACGTTCTTTCAGTGACACACTGAATTACAGCCTTCAGGGAAGTGAAGACATGAGCCACAACTATCAGTAATAAATATCATAAGAAGTGAGAGAATTCAACACTAGTGGGTTCTCTTTCGACCTGAGGATTCGGTTCCCCAGTGGGGGTTAATTGGTTAGGAGGATAATGCTGATTATCTCACGAGACTGTATTGGATATTGAAGCGAACTCTGTTTTGGTGGACATTTCGAAACTGACATTGACATAACTAAGGCTGGATTGCTTCACCTAATTTTAACAGTAACTTTAACGATAACCGGTACTTTTTGTATGGAGTTTGACAGATTCTGACGTTTGTCAGAGTTATAGTAAGATGGTGCATCCCAGCCTTAGTGTTCGCGCGTTCGTTTCAATCACTGCTGGACAAAAGCCTCTCCCAAGGATTTCCACAACTTACTACTTATAACAATAAAAAACTTAAAGCTGCGTCATTTCAAATCAATTAAATAAATAAAAAATGTATTTGTTGCCTTCGAACCATCATACAATTAACGTTTTCTTCTTTACAGTGACTTAGTTCCCAGGAAAGTGCAATATAAGTGCGGCCCGAGAAAAAAACAGATATGTACTACAATGAAAAAAGAGGTAATAGTCACTTATTTTCTCCAATTTCATACAAGAAGTACTTTTTCTTCTTCTTCTCCTCTATGGCTACTGTGTTTCCACGTTTGATACACAAGAAGTTAGTAAGAAACGTATAATTTTCGTAATCTTTTAATTGTATTTTTTGTCATGTTTTCAGAAAGTGATAAAAACATCGTATATTTGCTGCGACGGATGGACCTACCTTGATGGCAAATGTGTTGCTAAGTGTGATCCGGTATGCCTCAACGCGCAGTGCACGGATACCAACAAATGCACCTGCGACTCCGGCTTTGTGCCTCTCAACGAGACCCTCTGCGTCCCTCCGTGCCCTCCCGACCAGTACAACGACCTCTCAGTCCCAGAATTCCCATGCAGGTCCAAATGCACTCAACCCTGCTCTAACGGCACCTGCGTAGACTTCAACAAATGCTCATGCAATTCCGGCTTTAAACAAAAAGACCAGTTTACCTGTGAGCCTAAATGTGGTGCATGTGAACATGGCGTTTGTGAAGCACCTGAGTATGAATGCACCTGCTTATCAGGATATGAAAAAGGTGAAGATGGGCGCTGCGAGCCGATATGTGAAGGCTGTGAACAAGGAAAGTGTGTTGCTCCTAACGACTGTCAGTGTCATGACGGATATAGACGAGAAAATAACAAATGTGAGCCTGTATGCCACAACTGCGAACATGGAAGCTGCAGAGCTCCCAACGACTGCCAGTGCCATGACGGATATAGAAGAGAAAATAACACATGCGAGCCCATATGCTATGATTGCGAACATGGAAGATGCGTGGCTCCCAGCGATTGTCAGTGTAATGACGGGTATAGGCGAGAAGAAAACAAATGTAACCCAGTATGTGATGACTGTGAATATGGAAAATGCGTAGCTCCCAACGATTGTCAGTGTCAAAGCGGGTACAGACGAAAAAACAACAAATGCGAACCCGTATGTGATGAAACGTGCCAGAATGGTCTCTGCACGGCACCTAATGAATGCACATGCAAGCGTAATCACTCTCACGATGCAACAAACAAATTCAAATGTAACCCCATTTGCGATAATGCTTGTGTGAACTCTCTTTGCATTGCTCCTAATACGTGCATGTGCATCGACGGGTTTGAATCTTCTGGCAACAATTGGACATGTCGACCGAGCTGCAAGTCTTGCGACAATGGACAATGTTTGGCACCCAACGAGTGTGTATGTAACAAAGGATATGAAAAAAATGATAAAGATATATGTGTTCCTGTTTGCAAATTACCATGCACTCACGGAGTTTGCACACAACCAGATTTATGTGTATGCAATCCGGGATACAAGATGGATGATATCTCGAAGACTTGTAAGCCAACCTGCGACCAAAGTTGTGTGAATGGCACTTGTGTTGCGGTTAACGAATGCGAATGTTTTTCTGGCTACGAAAAGACCGACGTCGGAAACATTTGCAAGCCAATCTGCGCACACACTTCTTGTGTGAACGGAGATTGCGTTGCGCCCGATGTTTGTCAGTGTCGCGACGGATATGAGTTCGTTAATGGAACATGTGGGCCTGTGCCGTTGTGAGTATATTACTTTTCACTTCTTAGTTAACAAAAAAAAAAGACTGCTTACCTATCTGTTTACATTATAGGAACCTTAATGCACCTGCGCTACAACTCCTGTGTGACTCTGTAGTAGATCCTGGTTACACAGGAGTTGCAGCGGTGGGAACGAGAGGTGGGAATAGTCCCGTTACATCTATTTGGTTGACAGCTTGTCACAGTGAATTTTTTGAATTATTTTTACCCAAAAAATTACTCACTGTGTGAAGTATAGGAAACTACGAGGACAGTAAATGGACACAAATCTACAATACTACGTCTCAACGAGTGTTCATACTGATTCCAGGATGAACTGCAAGGACTGCGAGGGATTGTGCAAGGACGGCGTCTGCGCGTGTCCCAACGGCTCTCTGTGCCACCAGGCCGAGTCCGCTTCTACTGACGTGGAGTCTACCCCTACGTGAGTTTGTATTTTTCTGTAGTACCTTAGATCAGGGGTCTCCAAACTACGGCCCGCGGGCCATATCCGGCCCGCCACTGCCATCAATCCGGCTTGCAACATACCGAAAAAATTATATTGTACCGAATAATATTGTCGGCCGTTTGGTGTAGTGGTTCAGAACGGACTACAATGCCGAGAGGTCCCGGGTTCGATTCCCGGCTGGGCAGAAATTGAAATGATGAATTTTAATTTCTGTGACGGGTCTGGGTGTTTTCTATGTATAATATGTATGTATTTACAAAAAAAAAGTATTTAAGTATGTTTATCCCGTCGTCTAGTACCCATAGTACAAGCTTTGCTTAGTTTGGGACTAGAGGCGCAGTGTAAAATGTCCAAGGATATTTATTTATTTATTTATTATGGCCCCAAGGCCTCAAAGTTTGGAGACCCCTGCCTTAGATTAATAACGCCTAGATGGATATCATACAAGCGCTTTGTCTAAAGTGAGGTAAAAGTAATGTATGTAATAATTATGTCATCCAATCTCATCTTACATACATTTTCACTAGTGTTTGACTTTAACAACTGTCTGAACGTATGGAAGAACTAAGGCTGGGTTGCACCATCTTACTTTAACTGTGACAAACGTCAAAAATCTGTCAAATTCCATACAAAAATCACCGGTTATCGTCATAGTTACCGGCAAAATTAGATGGTGCAACCCACCCTAAGCCAGTCGTTTAGTTTGAAATGACTCACTTTTATCTGCGCGTAATCCTCGGTTTCTAGGTGTTATATATAACTAATTCTATCGTTCATAAGTGCCTCTAGTGGTCTAAATTGAATAAAATATATTTGATTTGATTTTTGATTTTATGACCGATTCAACTCGACTGAACATTGATTTTGCGTTTAACTTTTGCGAAGCAGAATAAATAGGTACTGGATTTGTACCACAACTAAATTGTTGAGTAAATATTAAAATTTCTTTTATATTTAGTACTAAGTAATTTTATGTTCTTTAAAAAAATCCTAGAAAATAATGTTCTGAGGTTTTTTTTATGCATAAAATTTTAACGGCACATTACGTTCTCCTACCTTATTATGGACGTGAAGAAGGTTCTTTCCCCGCTAAATAGACGACGTCAAGAAGAGAGTTGGCATTTACTGGTTAAAAAATCGGAAGATCGTGTTTTTTGATGGTCCTTGAGCAAGTAATAATCATTATTTTGTCCTTGCTTCAAACTTTTATCGACCGCAGGCCGATAGACCCAGCAGTTGTTTTATATCGACTGAATGATAATGATGTTAAATGTATAAGGTCGCGCAACCAGTGTTGAGGCCATTAACACAAGCAAAGATTTGTATCTTATACGCTGTCTGTTTCTGTCTCGCTTGCAGACATTTACGAGAGCGTGGTAGCTTACTAGCTGTATATTCGATTTTTTTTTAATTTATTTTACAACTAAACGACAGTTACATTGGGACAATTACATTTAGATAGCTTTAAAAACCACTAGGGTTTGATCTAAAGCTAATGAGTTTGCAGTGGGTACATTCACAATTTCACATACCTACAATTACATAATACAGCATTTGAAATGTGTTGTTTGTGTTCTGTATTCAAATATTACTTCAGTTTGAGTACGTGTTCGCCTCAACTTTCGTTGAGCTATCTATAATGACTATGTGACGTCACAGGTTAGCTGGTCTGCAGTTGACGTGGGCGCTGGGAGGGGCGGTGGGGATCCTGCTCGTCGTCATCATGATGGTGGTCATGGCTCGGATCTGGCGCCAGAGGCAAAGATACGACAAGAAGAATCCAGACAAACGTAAGAACTGCATTGTTAATGAGGGCTATCGTTTTTATACTTAACAGTTGGCACCCCTGGCGATTGACAGGACCTTACTCTACAGTGGCGCCATCTTGATGAGTGCAAATGCGATAGTCCTCCTACCACTTTAGCACTCACCAGTTGGTGCCACTGTCTTCGCTACTAGCAAGTGACAGGACCTTACTCTACAGTGGCGCAAACTGGTGAGCGCTAAAACGATAGCCCTCATTACACCATCATTGTAAATTGAAAATAGTAGAAGGGATTTGCAGCATTTTCAAGCAGACGGCAGATGAATCAAATAAACTAAGACAAGCCGCCTCCGCCTCTATAACCGCCTCTGTGATGTTGTGGTAAGACCACCTGCTTTTGACGCAGAGGTCCCGGGTTCGATTCCCAGTGGGAGCAGATTTTTCTGTTCGGTTTGGTTGGTGGTGGGCTTGTTCTAAGTCCGCCTGGCTAGCTACCACCGTCTTACCTAAGTCTGTCGCCATAACAACAATGTCAACAGCATTGTTGTGTTCCGGCAGTAGATGTAAGATAGCCAGTTCCTCCGTGGTTGAGGATTCCGGGTGAAGCTCGCTTCCACCTTCGGCCTGATATTCACTTATCATCAGGTGAGATACAGGCCACGAGCTTCCTCGTTGTGGAAAAAAAAAGCCCAAAATATGAACAGTAGTTTATAGTGACATTTTCATACTAAACGTCACTTTCAACAAGTGTTCAACGAGCGAATAACTTTTATTAGTAAAGAGGTTAGCATTGAGCCAACATCATTAATTGACCAGGACAAATTGCTTCTTATTTCTCAGATGATGCAGCCTATGGCAGCGTTCTGTATCCTCTTGCCAACACTTTGGTACCTCGGGATCCGACCGACGTGGATCCTGACTACGATGACGTAGAACTGAACAAGCAGACCGATGTGGGTCTTCTAGGGCATATACCCACGGAAGACTGTGTCGAGAGGATATGATGACTTTGTTAACCTTTTACCTACAGGAGGCGCCTATTGATGCCAAGTCAAAAGTCACTTCTCAAAATACTGGTGGCATCTATCGTTGTTTTGGCAAAGCCAAAATCACGGTTCACGACAAAAAATGAGCATGTAATTATGAAACTACATTAGTTGCAGAATTATATTTCAAATTTCAATACCGTAAGTCTCATACTTTTTAAAATATCTTGATGTAAAGTAAAGCAAAAATGTTGGCAGCATAAAATACCCCGTATTGAGAGGCGCACTTTGGTTTACAAGAGCCCGTAGGAAAAGGGTTACTGACTATTATTGAGAATGGCTCCAGTGTGAGTTTAGGAACTCTGTAACACGGAGAACGTAGCTGACTGTAGTCATATTGTCACTGTTGATTTCAACCACTGAAACTCCTGTGTAGATCATCTATAAGTAGTGAGTTTTCAGTAGCATGTGAAGTTTTATGTAGAATGTAATTTATTTTTTATAATGGATTATGTAATTAAATTTTCAGACTGCAACATAGCTGTAAAATATGCAGTGAAGTACAACGTAAATGCAGTAGAGGCTCAATTTTATTTACCAAAGTTTTAAACGAACTTACAAAAGAAGCTTAAAAGCTTTTGTATCTCATAAATGTACTTTAAACGCCTATTATTTACAGTATTGTTAGTTCAATTGGTCAATAATAATGATTTGTTCGTCGCTTCTGTAGTAGCATACAAAATACACTGCAATTTTAATGTTGAACGTAAGATATGTACAAAAAGTTACTAAAATGTTACATAAATGTAGGTACAGTGAATCTCAGTTGCAATCTTAGTCTAATAAAATAAATACATAATATTTATTAACTAACTAACAAACAAAACGTAGAAGTATGTTTGTCATTAAAAAATGACTTAAAATTGTATTATAGGAGACAATTAAGAATAATAAAATGTATTAGGTTTAATTATTGCACTATGTAAATTAAAAAAGTGATGGCATTCTTTGAATGTTTTAGGCTGAGATGCACCACCTAACTTTAACGGTAACTATAACGATAACCGGTGCATTTTGTATGGAGTATGACAGATTTTTGGCGTTTGTTAAAGTAAGATGGTGCAACCCAACCTTAACTTTCGTTATCTCATCGATAGTCTAAATTTTCTTCTTTGTATGTACTTAGCAGGTGGTTTTAGAATCGAATTCGAATATAACATTGTGTAAAAGAAAAATATTGCATTGTTTTGTGCCATATTCATTTAGATTATTCCATTTTAATGCCAAAGTTATGTTAAACTTTAGCTCGGTACCAAAAGGTTCCCTGCGTGATCGAATCAGAAATGAGGAGATCCGCAGGAGAACCAAAGTGACTGGCATACCCCGTAGAATCGCAAGTGGCAGTGGGCGGGGCACATACATAGCTTGTAGAGCTGATGGCCGCTGAGGTAGAAAAGTTCTCGAGTGGCGACCACGAGCCGGAAGACGTAGTGTGAGCAGAGGTCTCCCACTAGGTGGACCGACGATCTGGTGAAGGTCGCAGAAGTTGCTTGGATGCGGGCGGCGCAGGACCGGTCTTTGTGGAAAACCTTGGGGAAAGCCTTTGTCGGCAGTGGACGTCTTTCGGCTGAAGCGAACCAAAAAGGTCTAAAGATTTATCACAGCTCACATCTAAAAATCACAAATGGCCTGTGGTCTATGTGAAGTGTAAGACCTAGAATTAGCAGATGCTGTTTTCTTGAAGTATAACGAATTCTCTTTATCTGTGGAACTATGGTGGAACTACTCGTACAAAATTTGTGGTTAAACTACGTCGTGGTAACTTTGACTTTAGTATGGTATTATTAACAGCTTTTAGTCTTCCCTTTTTTGCATTGCACATTGGAAAAAAGTACCTTGTTTTTCGTATCACGTAATATACAAACATCCAAACTCTTTGTAAATAATAATCACACACAAGCATTATTATTATAAAATTAGTCGTTAAAACTTGCAAACGCAGTTGTGAAATTAATAAATAATTATAAATATTTTATAGGTTTATCTTTTAGATGTAGGTTTATCTTTTCAATGTAATGAAACTGAGTGAAACTTGTTTCAAGTCCGTATCACAGAACGGTGCTTAAAACTCGATTCAACTTTAATATCGTTCATTCACTGCAATGACTACACGTCAAGAGTTCTGGAAACGTCAAGTGTCAAGCTTCCAATGCATTATTATCAATATCATCATCACATCACGCTTATTTAAGTAAGAAATCGATTGTGATCATTGACAATTCTCATAATTTATTTGTCTAAAAACTACTTTTCCGTAGGTACTTTAATATTAAAAAAAGTAAATAAATTAATTTAACCTGAAATCTGTTTTTTAATACCACTCTAGGATATTATCAATACTTGAATTTTGAAATTATGTTACAATGCTGAAAAGGTGACTAATCGAATTGAAATTAATAATTATTGAAAGAATGAGGGGCAGGCCTCCCACTAGGTGGACCGACGATTTGGAGGAGGTTGCGGGATGTACCTGGATGCAGGCAGCGCAGGGCTGATCGTTGTAGACATCCTTGGGGAGGCCTTTGTCCAGCAGTGGACGTCATTTGGTTGGAACGAACGAAATAATAATAAAATGGTGGAATGTCGGTGATATGAGTTATCAGTTGAATGACTGTTCGAAGAATGACTCATGTGAAATAGCGTGTCAATTTTCAGATAAAAGTAACCCTAACTAAATATATCCCTTCATGTTGTTAAAGAAGATTCACGGAAAGACAAAAAAGAGGATACGTCAATTAAAGCTTTAAAGGAAGTAAACTTTTTATAAATTGCTCACCCCTTTTGAGAGATATCTAACTCGAGTCGATGTTTCTCTGAAGGGATGCGCGAAGCCACAACAAGGGCTCTCGCGGAAGACCAGTTTCTTGACATGCCCTCACGAGCATGTCAGGATAAATGCTGAGCGGAAGCCTTTTGACACAGTGGCCCACTATTTTATATATTCGTTTTGTGTTGTTATTGTTTATAATTTGTGCTTACTGTGTTCAATAAATTCTACAATTCTTTCTTTCTTTCTTTCTTTCTAAATTCTTCTAGAATAAACGAGATTGCGCAATTTCTGGAAATCGACCATAGTACGTCGCACTTCCTTCATGGAATCATTATACATAAACACGAATTCAAACTCGATCTGTCTCCCATTTATGACCGTTCCTTTGTTGAAGTAAATCATGAGCATATCTGCATGAAATGTATTCATATTACTTGATATAGGTAAAAACTTTATGAATTTGATCCATGAAGCACTGTAATAAGTATACTCGTACCTATACTTTTTGTGCTTTCTATGATTCAACTCGGACGCAGCCAGCCCATTTTACCCGACCATAAACAACGAAGATGGAAGGGGAATTAATATTTTAATTAGTGTCCATAGAGCCTAGATAACTATATCAATATCATCCTACACATGAATATATCGCGCCAATAGGAACTGGTAATTTTGTGAATATAGTATGATAAAAAAATGGACTGGAACGAGATTAAATGACTGAACATCCTCATTTATTCAGATTACTGGATACAACTCGGTATCAATGCTACGTCAGCATTGCTTGTCATAAATATTGCCAGGTTTATTTGGCGCTGGTTGTACATCCGTAGAGCGCTGATACTTACTCTACTCTACAATTTACCTACTCTATTTAATTTTGCTCTTGCGCATTATTTCGGAGTTTCAGACTGGAGTGTGTCTTGCCATGTGGAAGTTTGTTGTGCTTGGGTTGGTGCTGGTGACATGCCAAGTGGAATCACGAGTTGGTGTGTGTCAAACTGTGAAAACGTGAGTGTTTTTTTATTTGTAATAGAGTAGTGCTAAATTTGGATGTTTGCTCATTAATAACAATTGGAATATCAAAAAGAACCTAGGATACAGTTTAAAATCAATAATTTTACATGAAGGAGCTAAAGTTGATTGTGATGTAACTATAATGTGTTGTAACTAATCTGGTGAAAACTTAGATCAAGACAAATAATTTTTTAAATACATTTTGAATTTAAATAATGATTCTTTCTGTTTTCCACGACAGATACGAAAAGACATATTGGGGTCAGAAATGGGGTAGCTATGTCCAATCCTACGAATCTTGTTGGACGAGTCTGTGGTGCTCCACAAAAACAAGAATAGCTCATGGTTTTAGAGATGCTAAACTGACGGTAGGTAAATATTTTTTCTATTAGTGGTTAGTAAGCTTATGGATAAACTAGCTACAACCCGTTAGAGGTGACTGCGCACCTAGTACCGTGACGTCACATCGACACTGGTACGGAGGGGGTGAACTCGGGCACAGAATAAGTAATAGTACAGGTACAGAAGGATTACTCCGTAAGACGATTTAAATAAATGCGAGTCTTGCTGCGACGCGATACAGTAGAATTCAGCTCGCACAGCACTACGTACCTACAATTTTATTCACCTACAAGTTTTGTCTCTTTCTATCGCGTGCCTCTGAACTCTTCTTACGCTGTTAGGGTTGCTGTCTAGTGAAAAAAATAATTAATCTACTTATATGTCATGAGGTACGTACCTCATGACACGTATGTATGTAAGTACGCATTCATTATGGAAAACCTTGGGAGAGGCCTTTGTCCAGCAGTGGACGTCATTTGGCTGAAACGAACGAACGCATTCTGAGCAGTAGTCATGGTAGGTTAGGTTCCTATACTATCCTAAGAATTATTGATACCTTTCAGCATCTCTGGGAAGCGAAAAAAAAAGATAAATCCGGTAGATTTCTTTTCGAATTTAAACACCAGTACCTCTAGTAGGAAAAACTTTCGAGTTCGTTTCGTTGCGTATTCAAAGTGTCATCGAAAAATTTTGTATGAAAAATTAAACAGCGCCCCCTATATTATAGCCGCCCTAGGGGGCGCTGTTTAATTTTTCATACAAAATTTTTCGAAGATTAATAAAAAATCAAGTTTTTTGATTAATGATTAAAACATTGAAAAAGTGACCAGAATAGCATGATTTTTAATTTATATTCTCAAAATGTGATGTATTGGGATCACGAAAATTCGCTGAGAGAGTTGAAGAATAGCATCAGTCGCATTTCAATTTCATTTCAATGGACGAAATACGGCAAAACAGGGAACGCTTCATGAAAAACAAAACTGAGTGGATTCCCGGAGCCATAGTGTTACATGTTTCTGTTCATAAAGTTCAGCCTTCCACGTCGAAAGATTCTACACCTGGACGACCACTCAAGGAGTTCAACGAGTCCAGCAAAAAGACGAAAAGAAGAAGACTTTTAGACCTCATTTCCTCAAGAAGTACTTGAGAACTGATATTGACTGCTGAAGCTGCAGCGCAAATGTCTGCTGGCCACAGCAACTTGGCAAGTCATTAATGTTGTCCCAGTCTACCCACTAAATTAAAAAAAAACTGAGATTCTTTGTTCCATATAAATCGCAAAAATGTTTATATCGAAAAATTGATTTTCATTAAATTCTCCATAAAAAACGGGAATTTCATACTTTAACACCTAATACATCATAAGACCAATTATTATTATACTGTAAAGTTAGTTTCTTCTTTCCTTTTTAGTCTGTTTCTCTTGATTTTAGGAAATAAATATTTTATTACCAAAAAAAATTTTTTTTTCAAACCTACCTAATATAATTATAATAAGAAGCCTAATTAATCTTAAATTGCACAAAAAAGTAAGTAATGCGTGTATTAAACCCATTAAAGTAAAAAAATAATATTGTCCAGCTAGCTTGTTCTACTCGAATCACTGTGCGGCGGGGCGCTTCGCTGTAGGTAATTATCGGATGTACCGCGCGGAGTGAGCCAGGCCTGACTCGGGGAGTGCGAGGGAGTCGCATTTCAGCGAGGTGCGCAGTTTACTCGATCGGGTTGTACGCCATGACATAAATATCACTTAATCATTAGTTTGTTGCGGAGCTATTTTATAACTAACTAGCTGACCCGGCGAACTTTGTTCCGCCTTAATGGCAATAAATAACGGAATAAAAAGTATCCTATGTCCTTCTCCTGGCTCTAAACTACCTCACTGACAATTTTCAGCTAAATCAGTTCAGCCGTTCTTGAGTTATAACTGGAGTAACTAACACGACTTTCTTTTATAAGTATAATAGACTAGCTGACCCGGCGAACTTTGTTCCGCCTTAATGGCAATAAATAACGGGATAAAAAGTATCCTATGTCCTTCTCCTGGCTCTAAACTATCTCTCTGACAATTTTCAGCTAAATCGGTTCAGCCGTTCTTGAGTTATAAGTGGAGTAACTAACACGACTTTCTTTTATAAAATAGACTAGCTGACCCGGCGAACTTTGTTCCGCCTTAATGGCAATAAATAAGCAGACTTTTTTTTATTTCGAACGGGATAAAAAGTATCCTATGTCCTTCTCCTGGCTCTAAACTACCTCCCGGACAATTTTCAGCTAAATCGGTTCAGCCGTTCTTGAGTTATAAGTAGAGTAACTAACACGACTTTCTTTTATATATATAGATGATTTTCCTAAGATATTCATAAATTAAATTATGTCAAGCAAGGGTAATTTTGTTGGAAAGTAAATACATTACATGTAACATAATGTTACATTGTAATGAATAACGTATTTACTTGGATAAGGATTAATACTTATTATGTCTATTAAAGACCTTGGCAAATAACGCAGTAACTTCAGAAGCCAATCTATACCTACTTTTTTTAAATTATTTAATTAAAAGCGTTTTATATTTCTTCTGTAATCATGCATTGCCCTGCTAAATATTTTGAAGATAATGTAATGTATTGTAATGTATGGAATAGCAATAAAGAATTTAAAATAAATTAAATTGTCCTAAAAAGTAACGCCAATCTGACTGAATCGTAGCCTTTTAGATAAACATAACTTGTCACAAGTAAAAGTCGTTAAGAAGTTACTGTCATATAATAATTAAATGTTAGATGTTATAGATGACCCACGCTGAACTGTCCCACCAAACTCAATGACAGGGGGGCGCTACCATCGTTCAACTATATGGTTTCCAACATGGCAAAAATCTGAACCAGCGATCCGGTATTGACGGTGGCGCCCCACTGTCAATGTCATCGACAGGACAGTCCAGCCCCCCTAGACAAAACTCACTTTTTGATCGAATCGAAAATCGAATCCGTCAAAAATCCATACAAAAAAGGGGCTTTTCGACCACTTTTTGACTGGTTTGCGATTATAATTTGCACTTTGTCTAGACCCACTGTATTTTGGAACTATAGGTTTATAGTCAGTGTCAGTCAGTTTTTCAAATATGTAAAATAATGATATGCTTTTTTCAGAAAGTTGGCTATAAATATGAAGATGTTTGCTGCGATGGTTACACAGGCAATCCCAAGTATGGAGGACCCTGCAGACCTGTATGCAATCCACCCTGCAAAAATGGCTTTTGCGACGCACCGAATACATGCAGATGTAACTTCGGATACAAAATGTCCCCAAGCCTTACGTGTGAACCACAATGTTCCAGGGGATGTTCTCATGGCAAGTGCNGAAAATGTGTCGGCCCAGAAATGTGCCAATGTGACTTGGGATATAAACTTTCTAAGTCCTTTACCTGCGAACCCCAGTGCTCTAAAGGATGCCCAAATGGAAAATGCATTAGCCCTGAAGTTTGTGAATGTAATGTTGGTTACAACATGTTGGAAAATAAGACTTGTGCCCCTGTGTGCACGAAGGAGTGTCCTTCTAATGGAAAATGTGCCAGCCCTGAAGTGTGCCAATGTGACCCCGGCTACAACATGACAATTGATGGCACTTGCGATCCTCTTTGCTCTGACGGTTGTCCTTCTAATGGAAAATGCACTACCCCTGAAGTTTGTGAATGTAATGTTGGTTATAGAATGTCGAAAAATAAGACTTGTGACCCTGTGTGCACTAAGGGGTGTCCTTCTAATGGAAAATGTGCCAGCCCTGGANCCTCTCTGTTCTGACGGATGTCCTTCTAATGGGAAATGCATTAGCCCTGAAGTTTGTGAATGTAATGTTGGTTATAGCATGTCGAAAAATATGACTTGTGACCCTGTGTGCACTAAGGAGTGTCCTTCTAATGGAAAATGTGTCAGCCCTGAAGTGTGCAAATGTGACCTCGGTTACAACATGACAATTAATGGCACTTGCGACCCTCTCTGCTTTGATGGTTGTCCTTCTAATGGAAAATGCACTAGCCCTGAAGTTTGCCAATGTGACCTCGGCTACTACATGACAGTAAATGGCACTTGCGACCCTCTCTGTTCTGGCGGATGTCCTTCTATTGGAAAATGTGTCAGTCCTGAAGTATGCCAATGTAATCTGGGGTACAAAATGTCGCAAAATGCCACCTGCGATCCTCACTGCTCTCGGAATTGCCCAGAAAATTCTAAATGTGTAAGTCCAGACGTTTGCCAATGTGAAATCGGCTACAACATTACATTTGATGGCACTTGCGACTCTTTCTGTTCTGATGGTTGTCCTTCTAATGGGAAATGCATTAGCCCTGAAGTTTGTGAATGTAATGTAGGTTACAGCATGTCGAAAAATAGGACTTGTGAACCTGTGTGCTCTAAGGGGTGTCCTTCTCATGGAAAATGCGTCAGTCCAGAAATTTGTCAATGTGACCTTGGCTACTATCCTCGCATACCTAAAAATAATATCTGCAAACCTCTTTGTCATACAGGTTGTAGAAATGGAATTTGTGTGAGCCCACTCCACTGCATATGTAAGCTTGGCTTTAGAATGTCTGCAAACGGCACATGTGAACCTAATTGCTCTAATGGCTGCCCACACGGAGAATGCGTAGCCCCAGAAACTTGTCAGTGTGATTCCGGATACAAAATAAAAAATAATACCTGTGAGCCCCAATGTTCTTCAGGATGTCCCTATGGCAAGTGTGTGAGTCCTGATACTTGTTTATGTGACCCTGGCTACACATATTCGAATAACACATGTCAGCCGGACTGCCCGAATGGTTGTGACCATGGCAAATGTGTTGGCCTTGGTAAATGCCTGTGTGATACTGGATATTTGTATACGTATTCGAATGAGCATATAAACGGTACTTGTAAACCATATTGCAAAATAGAGTGTGGTAATGGGAAGTGCATAGAACCAGACATTTGTACTTGCGCTCCCGGCTACACTGTGGATTTGCAAAACAATACGGAAAATAAAACAGAGGGCCCTCTTTGCATTCCTAAATGTACTAATTGTCAAGGACTATGTGTCGCTCCAAATCAATGTATTTGCCAGCTTCCATTCATCGCCAAGAACACTACCGCAGATGGTGGCGAGTGTGATGGTTTTGAATCAATATCTGGGTTGATTATGTGCAATATGACAATTTGTGTGTTAAATTCAAGCACACATGATGACAATTATGTAACTGAAGTATTTGAATCCTCAGAAGGAATTGATTTGGAAACAACGTTTATGTCATCAAAAGTTACAAACAACAAAGACATTGACTTATCAACAGCTACAAACGATGAATTAGAACAAAATGATACAATAATGTATCCTTCTTTTTATACGACCAAAGTAGACATGGACGAGTCATCAACACCAACAGATTATGAAGACTTTACGCAGAGTGAAGTAAATATTACTATCTCTTTCGTAACTACAAAGCTTGCAGAGAAAAGCTATGATAGTAAACTCCAAAATGGTTCTAAAAGCAGGTACCTACCCAATTTATTTAGTTGAATTATTTACCATTCAAGTGTTGGTCTAATAAACATACAATTTTGTAGCGGGCTAGATGTTTAAAAATTAAATTACTTACGTTTTCTGTTCCAGGTCTATTCCAGTCTGGGTATACATTGTCGCAGCAGTAATGGCCATACTGATTGTACTACTTATTTTGATGGTCTATCTTAAAAGAAATCTTTTGATGAATTACTTTAAGCGCAGCAAATATGAAGTGAAAGGTAAATGACTTTAAATACACAACTTCATTTTAAACTGTTAAATTAGCTTAGTTTTTACATAGTTGCTTTCAAATCCACTTTTTGAAGCCCCGATAGCCGAACGGTGACGGGGTCAGACTGGCCGACTCGTGATCCGGGGAACGCGGGTTCGGTCCCCGCCGCCGCTCGACTATTGTGGTGAGCTCACCCGTGATACAAGCATATTTAGCTTAGTACGAGGGGCTAACGGGACTTGCTTAAGTGAAGCTGCAAATCGAATGCACAGCGTTGAATAGAGTTCTTTGATTGGTTTGTTGTGTGTCACCCTGCGCATGCACGCGTACAGTGAGACCTCATTTACTATGAGGTCGGGTTGTTTGTGAATATGGGCGTTAATTGTGGTTGCCTATACATTTTCAATGAACTCAATGTTTCAGATCACACTGAAGAGTACAGTATTCCAACTATCCAGTTCACAGGAGTGAAGTCGGAGGATGACCGTTCTATGCACTCGAATGAAACGTATGAATGTGTAAATTAATCACTAAATAAATGAATAACACCTTAATAGGTTAAATTATTACAAACATGTTATCGTATGGATAAAAGATATACACAAAATGTAATATTTAATTAAACCCATTCTTATTAATTATTTCTTTATTCATTGTAGTTGTTCGGGCCACTTTATGGCCATTTTTTCACGTTTAAAACTGCATTACATAGCACTGGCTGGCAACTGACAGGTGGACTTCATTCGGAAGAACGTCAGCCTGTCCTGTCAAGTCTACACCGCAGGAGATTCCCTCCGCATTCGCACACAAATACTTGGAGATAATTTGCCAAGCCAAGGAGGGCTCAGGAGTCGTCACTCTGCGATGGGACGGCTAGTCGAAGGTCCGGTGAGTCCCCTTTATCTAGACGACCAGGCTATCGAATTTCCATATCCCGTATTCCCACTAGTTCTCGTAGAAGTATTTTTGTATTTAGGAATGAATTCGCTCACTTCGTATATTTCATAAATTAGTTTTCATAAAAAAAAACAGTCAATGATTCTGAAAAGTTAAGTTAAAAATCAGAACTAATAACCCAGTACTGATAGTAGCGCCCTCCTGTATATGTCATAATTAAATGGGACACTTCACAAAAACCGCATTCTATTGTAACATTAAATTCAATATTTTCACTCGACATTGGCAAAAATAAAACTCCCAGATTGGTTGCGACTAAACAAAAAAAAAATAACATTATTTTTGCCTGACACTGTGACGATTTTAGTTCTACCCCCGATTCTATGTTTTTCTCCAAATTCTTTTAGTCAGTCATAGAAATCAGTTTTTAATAGGCGCTTTTACACGTGCCTGTGTCTCTTTTACTTTAAACCTGATTCGGGACAATAAATGTGTCAGTGTTGAAAAGAAGTACCGCACGAATCTCAATAAGTTTGTTAGCGTCTAGAGATTTTGTGGAGAACTTTAGAATAATGATTTTATGGAATTATCAGGAAAAGTGAAAAGTGATACTGAAAAGAGTGTAACGACTGGAAGAAGAACTTTTATAGTAAGTGAATTTTTGTATGTTTTAATTCTTGCACATTTTCCTTTTGGATTATTAGGTTAGGATTACATATTTGAATAGTAATGTTGCTGTATTTTTAAAATATACACGCAGTTTCCTATAGTGTTTGCAGTTTGCATACAAGTAGGTATACAATTATGGAAAATTGCATCAGGTATGCGAGCTAAGCTAAACTACCTTCTATTATAATATCTTATTATCGAGTATGCACTGGACCGCAAATAAAATGGGTCGGTCGGAAAATCTTCTATATTATCTTCAATTAGGTACCTGAACCAGCTTTAAGGAATAAAACGTACTGTAAAAATTTCGTAATTTTTATTTTTTATTAAATTCTTCAAATCATAAAGCTAGGTCAGGTATTTCTAAGATATTGAAAATTTTGTAACCGATCCTTCTTTGCGGTCCAGTGAAGTTGTAAAGCTGCTCAACGAATCCGTTTGACGCACACAGCGTGGCCCTTGACGCTGGTATCCCGGTAGTAGCCCTCGTCACATGCACAGGAGTGCGGCGCCGCACAGTAACCGTTGAGGCAACCGCCGGGGCAGTGTGGGCGACACCTGGAAATTTAAAAAAACTCATTTATTTTTGCAAATTGGCTTTTAAAAAGCACTTTCACACGTCCCAGTATCAACCCTGCCACTGCTTCGGGACAATAAATGGACCACGGGACTATTCCCACGTCTCGTTCCCACCACTGCAACTCCTGTGTAGCCAGGATCTACAGCTTGACCGCCATAAAAACCCAACCAATGAAGGTCAAGTTTGTCCCGGGGGAAAGCTAAACTGTCATTGGACCCGCAACGAAATTAATCAGAAGAACATAGGACATCGAAATTTAAGGTTCGACTTCCCTCGATAAACAAAGATTTTTTTTCTTTTTTATGCTAGATTAAAAAACAGATACATACAGTCCTACATATAACCTCCTCCTTTTTTGAAGTCGGTTAATAAATGGGCCAGTGCTGAGAAGAAGCAGCGCAAGAAACTCAGTAACTACCTACCTATTGAGCGTTATAAATGAGCAGTATAGACGTTTACATTTTTTATATTATTACTGGCCTGTGCCTACCCCTCTGCAGAGTGGTACGAGTTACTTAAAATGTAAGACTCAGGTCAGGGGTTCCTCACGATTTGAATAAATGCGGTCTTCAAATGACAGCACGTCAAGCAATGCAGTGCGGTTTTATTTTGCAACTATAAATGTACAGCTTGAGGTGAGTTGTTGACTGTACCGTTTTTGTTAGGACTCAAGACTATTGAGCTCTATTTTGATGATGTGAATTCTATGCATTTTATGCATATATTTTTGATTTTTGTACCTATGGCTGTCACGAATTTTGTGGTCAAGATTTTATAAGTTGACAACGATATCAATAATTTACTTACCGACTTCCGCTGGGATCATTCTCATCTGTTATGTAGCCTGGATTACACCTGCACCTGTTGTGGTCGATGCATACAGCGTTGACGCAGGGCTCAGCGCACAATGTCTCTTGGACTTCGAACGTGTTCTGCTGGCTGGGGTTATAGTTCTGATAACTTGGGTACCCATTCGAGTAGTAACCTCCCTGATTTGAAGGGTAATTGTTTCCCGGCTCATTCGAAGGATAGTACCCGTGCTGAGGAGTAGGATAACCGGGCCTTTGGTAAGATGGGTATTGAGGGGAACCCCCTTGACTGTCAGTAGTTGCATTCGATCTTTGACCATATTGAGGTTGCCCAGGTACATTCGACGGGTTTACTGGACCGTAAGGGCCAACTTGATTGTCCGGGTACATAGGATGAGGATAAGTCACGTTGATTGTTTGGAATGAGGGATACTGAGGGTTTGACGCTTGATTTGATGGGTTTTGTGTGTTTTGTGGATTGTAGGGGTATTGCGGTTGATTATACTGAGGATTCTGACCAATTTGACTGCCTGGAGTCAAGGGATAGTGATGAGTTCCATAAGATATGTTGTATTGAGGATTTGTTGAGTTTTGAGGGTATGGATACTGGTGATTTTGATTGTAAGGATATAATGGATTGGGTTGGGGGCCTTGATTTGTTTGTGATCCGTTTTGAGAATTCGGATACTGAGGATAGTTAGAACCTTGATTATGAGGATAAGATGGGTTCGGTTGATAGGAGCCTTGATTTGCTTGTGATCCGTTTTGAGAATTCTGATATTGAGGATAGTTAGAACCTTGATTATGAGGATGAGATGGGTTCGGTTGATAGGTGCCTTGATTTGGGTGTGATCCATTCTGACTAGAGGGATAAGGATAATAGGGATTATAAGAGTTGAAATTGTAAGTATTCTGTCCAGAGCCGCCTGCAGGGTTTTGAGGGCTTGGTCTCTGGCCAGGAGGTAGTCGTTCCGCGTCAGGGGACGTACTGCATACGTTCGGTGCTAAGCATTTTCCATTTGGGCCACAATTTCTGTAACGAAAGAATAAGAATTAAATTGCATTTTTCTTGTCTTCAATTCTCTGGAGGAAACACACTTCACAAATACTTCAATGTTATTCACGAATATTTTAGTCGATTAAAACTTTATGGTTATTAATTCTGATAACATATTTATGTTATGCGACACCTATTTGGTGTCGCAGCAATTTAACTTACGCCCGCATTCACAAACATGTCTCACAGTGCGCGTGGACGCACAGGGTGACACACGAACCAATCACAGAGCTCTATTTAACGATGTGCGTTTAATTTGCTGCTTGTGTATGTTCGATTTGCTGCTTCACTTAAGCAAGCATCGTTTGTGAATACGGGCGTTAGATTTGAGATGTTTTAAGAGAGGGGTTAACATGGAAAGCATTGGGGGAGGCCTATGTTCAGCAGTGGACGTCCTAATGGCTGAAATGATGATGATGATGATGAAGAGAGGGCTTGTTGCTTACTGGTTGCAATGAGGCATACAGTCCCCTTGGGTGTCCCTGGCGTAGCCGGCGTGGCAGCGGCACTGGCCCCGCACGAAGTCCCCGTTGGTGCACCGGTCGATCGCCTGGCACGAGCCGTCCGGGGTAGACCGGTAGCCTGTATTGCACTCGCAAGTGTTGGGGGCAGTGCAGTTGCCTGAATGGTTATCATGTTAATTAAATTATAGTTGTCGAAGTTTTCACACACGACTTATTTTACTGACACTTGCTAATTACTTTAATGACTTTACTGACACTTGCTAATTGGGTACTATACTGACCAATTTAGCTATTGAAATGAAAGTAATAGAGACTTAGACTAGTTCTTTTTCTTATAAAAGTAAAAAAAGGAGATCCTTCAGTAATTGTTTTCATGTCTTCTTATCTTATGGGCTCTAGCTCAAGCGCCGAAACATAGGCAAGTGTTTAAGTTGGTACTACAGATTCGGAATCATTATTATTGACACATAAAACATGTCTAAATGTATATGAGGTGGTGTTTCTTCAATCTCCCACTGTAAATAAAAAATATCTAGATATTTCGTTTGAGATAGAAGAAAACTTTACCCAATCCACCGCAGTTAAGCCTGCAGTTTGGCAAGCAGAATCGTCCGTCTATGTCCAGCTTGTATCCCTCTTTACACAGGCACTCTCCGCCTGAGCAGTGTCCGTTCTGGCAGCCTATAGGACAGGTGGCGACGCAGATCCCAGCAAGGTTCCTGACGTGGTCAGGGAAGCAGGTGCAGGTGTCTGGAGCGGTGCAGAGCGCGTTCACGCACTCCTGGCTGCAGACTGGCTCGCAGATCTTGTGGTTATACACGTTTCGTGTGTAGCCCTTGCAGCACGTCCGGATACGGCTGAGGTCCGGGCGTGACTGGAACCATTGGAGAAATTGGGTTACTGGCTGCTGGATCTTAAAGGAACAGAGACTCTTGGCTCGATGCGCTTCCTTTGGCAGTGCTTGCCAATGACACTTTATCAACTAAAGGATCAGTTTCTATCTACAGTTAAAGAGTGTCTGAGTCTGAGAATCTTAAATGCGATGCTTAGATGGGACGCTTAATTTATTGTTTTGTGTAATAGTTTCCAGTTTGGAACATCAGGCTTGATAGGGGCGGAGCAGTGAAGACCTTGACCTTTAAGACTGCGGTTCTACTGATCTTGTCAGACACTTTTAGCTTGTTATTTTTAATTATAGGGTTGGTTTAGTCTTTTGTGACAAAAGAGCAGGGAATTCTAATAATGTACAGACATTTCTACACAACCAAATCGTCTGTGATTACGAAACCGAGTCCCTTTGTAAGTCGCAGACAAAGTGAAGCATTTCAGGAATGCTTGTATCTCAGACTACTGACGTTACACGATCATTTGCAACGCGAGTGCCGACGGTGGATCCTCGGTATAAGGACGTCTAGAGTAAAAACAGCGAGTGTGAACGCTCCTTAGTAAATATTTGGTTAACTGAAGGATATAAATTTCTTGGAATATCACGTGTGAAACGTGATGTAAGCATTTTTATATGAAAGTATCGAGATTTTCCAAGGGTTGTGCCTTTGAGAGCATTTCCTTGACTTAAATTAATGTATCGGAAAGATCACGATCATTTAGAAGCTTAATTAGTTTAGTTTCTACTTAGTAAGTGATACTTACCCCATTACCTGCAGGGACATGAGCTGGGTCTCGCACTAAAGTGGCAGTACTGGAATAAAGAAGGAATTTGTTTTGTAATATTGCATGTTATATGTTGCACTTGTGTGTAGAGACAACAGCACATTACCTACTTAAAGATTGATTTAAGAAACTTGATTAGTTGATAAGATGACTTGTTTAGATATTTTTGTTTTTCTCTTCATTATTTTACTTTTGGTGTGCAGTTGTATGCACCAGCTCTTCTCAGTACTATTGATTATTACTTACGGCACTTCGATGTAGCATACGCCGACTTCAAAGTTGACTGACGGCGCTTGCCCGTAGCCACCCCCGCCACTGGTGTGGGATGACGACCCATTGTTGAAGAATCTGCGTACATTTTAATCAAATTCAAATTCTTTATTGCTATTCCACACATTAAATAGGATGTTACAAATAATATAGGACAGTATGGACCCTGTCGGTGATCATCATCATCATCATCATCATTTCAGTCACAGGACGTCCACTGCTGAACATAGGCCTCGCCCAATGATTTCCACAATAGCCGGTTGGTAACGGCCTGCATCCAGCGCCTCCCAACTACCTTTATAAGGTCGTCGGTCCACCCTGTCGGTAATCTTCTTAAAAGTTGGTTTTCCGTGCATTCTTACAGCAAATCGTCGATTCGTGCTTAATGCCTGTTTTCCACCGGCCCGGAGGGGAGAAGAGTCTACATGGAATAAATAAACAGATTTCGTTATTCCCAAATCACCAGGTGTGTAAGATTCGGTTCTGTAACTTGATTGGTTATATAAAACTCTTCTCCTTTCCTCTTTGCTTTTGTGGAAATCGGGCCTTAAGTTTGTCAGACTTTAAACAACAACAAGAAATTAGGTTACCTGCATACTTATAATTAGATTGTTTGTCCTACGTGTTCACTTGTTTTGTTATGACTGGATTTATTTGGCAACTGTACAGCAGATGCACAATACTTGTTTACATTTCCCATAAAATATGAACTTTATTTTAAGAGCCGATAGGGCTCAATTTCAACAGAAACAAAATAATTAATTCCTCTGCAGTTGACTGTAAGCATTGTTGTTGTCACCTCCAAGTACAAGTGATTCACCTGGTGACGTCACCTCCTCGGTACTGGAAGCTGTGCTGGCCTCCTTTAACGGATTGTGTGGACTGGGCGAGGTCGAATGCGCGTGCGCTGACCACCACCGCGACTAGCAATAGAAGCCGCATCTTGCTCTGAAAATTCCATAAAATTAACTTAAAGCGAACGTAATTTTCCCCGAAGTTGTGGTAGTTCATGCTATATTGGGACATGTAAAAAGGGCCTACTTAAACTAATCTATACTAATATTATAAATGCGAAAGTAACTCTGTCTGTCTGTCTCGCTTTCACGTCTAAACCACTGAAGCGATTTTGGTGAAATTTGGCATAGAGATAGTTTGAGTCCCGGGAAAGGACATAGGATAGTTTTTATCCCGGTTTTTGAATCAGGGACGCGCGCGACTATGTTTTTCTGTGACAGATAAAATTCCACGCGGGCGGTAAGCTAGTTGTTGCGGACAGCCGCTCGGGCGTGCGGAAATAAGAAAAACCTTCGGTTAAAATGAAGATATATTCCTGCCAAATATGCCCACAACGGCTATCAAAAAACATCAACTTCAAACTAAATAAAAGGTATCAAAAGTAATAAAAAAAGTATAAAAAACATAGACAATATAAAAAAGAGGTTGATTCACCAATCGGTTCCCAACACTAGTAAATAAATAAATAAATATCCTTGGACATTTTACACTGCGCTTCTGAAAGTCCCAAACTTAAGCAAAGCTTGTAGGTACTATGGGTACAAGACAACGGATATAAACATACTTGAATACTTTTTGTTTTCATCATTCAAATTGATCATTTTAATTTCTGCCCGGCCGGGAATCTAACCCAAGACCTCTCGGCATAGTAGTCCGTTCTGAACCACTACACCAAACGGCCGACGAAAGAAAAACGAATAAATAATTTGAATTAACTTTAATTAATAAGGCTGAGTTGCACCATCTTACTTTAACTTTGACAAACGTTAAAAATCTATCAAACTCCATACAAAAACCGCCGGTTACGGTTAAAGTAAGTTGATGCAACTCAGCCTAAGAAGGTTAGTAATAAGCCCAGTTTTTTTAATTGAAAAAACAGCTACCTAATAGGGGTTAGTAGTAGTTTCGCACGATTTTCCTTCGCAATAATGTGCGAAACGTCCCCTTTCAATAATTTTTTTAGTAGGCTTTCGCCCCGATGCATCAAAAGTATTAAAAACGGGTCCGAATCGACCCCTTTGAGAACTAGTAATCACATACTACTAGTTCAAAAAAGAGTGGATTCGCACGCGATTTTAATTACGTTATCGTTATCGTCATAGTTACGGGCAAAGTTAGGTGGTGCAACTCAGCCTTAAAATTGATCGACCCATTTCGTTTGGTTGCACTTTTGTTTCATTGAATAGTTTTATTTTATGTAGACTAAGTTAGGTGTAAAGCACATTAGTAAACATGTATTTTTAGATCTTATCACGGAGGTCGAAAAACAAATTCAATTCCAAGTTCAATTTGTTTATCTCCTGGCACATCTTAAGTAAACAAACAAAAACAAGAGAGTCAAAGTTACTTGTTTTTATTTTTTTAAACTTAAGTTTATTTTAAGAGAGTATTATTTAAGACCAGAATACCCTATGGAAGTGGTGGGAATAATGCCGATTACATAATAAGAAGTTGTTACCTTTGAGTCGCGAAATTATTCTGTGAAATATTCCTTACAACTTGTTAAAAAACACTAAAATGTTTACCGATTTGAACTTCATTAACACTGGGTGCACGTCTATTGAGATAATCTTACCTTAAATCAAATTATAGCAAGTTGACTAGTTCACTAAACGTTTGGTTGTACACTGAGATGTTATTTACTTCGAGCGATATGTTTGAGGTCAGCTTGACTTGTCAATGCGAAATCCCGATGGTTCCGTATGAAAATTTAAAATGTATAGTTCATCCAGTGTCTAAGTAGCTCAGTTGGAAGAGCTGTTGCCCGGCAAGCGGAAGGTCGTGGGTTCAATTCCCGCCTTAGGCAGTTCGAATTTTTCAAGTTATTTATTTATAATTTTCAAAATGTATAGTCTAGTTTAAAAATACTAATACCTGATAGTTTGGCCCCAAGGTTGATTGGAGGATATTGCCGAATGACATTAAGTTCGCCTTATGTACTGTAATTTATGCACATAAACATTAAACTTATAAGTATGTATGCACATACATACTTATAAGTTTAATGTTAAACAAAAAAGTGCAACTCCGTAGTTTCTTAGGTTCTTAGGTTTAGTGGGCAACTTACTTACTGTCAGTCCTTATTGGGATCCTTGTAGAGCCAAATGAGGTTATTTAGAAGTTTATGGTGGTGTCTACAAAGCTTCTAAAATGATAACAATTTTTTTACTAATATTATTATAACCTCGAGAATATACTTCACAGATTTGCGATCATCTGATAAAAATGTTAAAACAAATTGGAATCTGCGCTAGGTACTCCAGAATATTTTTTTTGAAGTTGATGATTGGTGTAAGTAGTGAAGATCGACCATCACATTAATTAATCCATGCATCATTTCGCATTGAGTTTAAAGATGCTTCTTCAAAATAACTTATGTCAGATTAGGGCATCAAATACGAATTAATCTTGTTTACAAAACATTTTCCTTAAAATTTTCCTTAGAGCGGTCTTCGATTCACCAGCTGACCCCTAATTCTAGTTAGCAACATGTCGTCATGCGTATATCAGAAACGGTGAGATAATGCACGCTACTTTGCATATTGGAGTATTTTGATTCATGTTGATTTGTTTTTTTATGGATAAGTTTTTGTACTATTTGCTAGCTAAGTAGTGAACACGTCACGAACGACGATATGGAAGCACCTGGATGCGGGCAACCGGTCTTATGGAATTCCTTGGGGAGGCCTTTTGCCACGGTGGTACCCATAGTATTTTTTTATTAATATACCTACTTACTTTATTAGGAACCTATAAAGGAATAGGATCTACTTGATTACTCGTAATGGCTGATTTTTAACCGTCGGAGATATTTGAGCTCAAGAATAAAATTGACATTTTGACATATTTCCCTGTCAGTAGTTATTCGATGATTGAATTCGATGATTGAAAGATCTGCCCTATGAGAACACTCGAGTAACAGGGTTAATTTTCTTTGTTACAGAGAGGCTGTCCGAGGCTGAGCGAGCACCATGACTTCATACGAAACAACACAAAAGGGTAAGTACTTACTTATTGATTTCAGCCCATCTTTTTTTTCAACTACAATTGATCCGATATTAATTAGATCCGAGATTAATCATGATAAATCGGTTTGTGGGGATCGAACCCGTGTCGTCGTTTCAGCCAAATGACGTGCACTGCTGGACAAAGGCCTCCCCCAAGGTTTTCTATAATGAACGGTCCTGCGCTGCCCGCATCCAGGCTCTTCCCGCGACCTTTACCAGATCGTCGGTCCACCTAGTAGGAGGCCTGCCCACGCTACGTCTTCCAGCCCGTGGTCGAACCCGCGTAATTTTGGGAATTGTTGTTGTTGTTGTTGTTGTTGTAGTGTAGCTTCTCCGATGGGTATTCTGATGACCAGTGGAATAATTTGACGAGTATTGTTTATTGGCTCGTTACTGTGCAAATATAAACGGCTGTAAATAGGAAGTTTCGCAAACTAGATAACAGCGCACGCAGCGTCCACGACCTTTCTTATCAGAGCTTCCATAGAATTCAGTTGGGTACAGTCCGATGCAAAAAGGTGGCTTCATTGTGTTAGTTTGGGGGTAGGTATATTTTCTGGGCAGCGATAACGTGAAAAATGCCTTTATTTGAAAATTGTGGACGAGTTTTTTAAATAAGGCCGAAAGGGAAATTTTGTTAAAACGAGGTATGAATGGGGAAGATATTTTTTCTTAAGATCTATTCATCTCTATTATCTTGGCTTATACTTAAATTATGTATAACTAACATAGATAGATTGTTAGTTATATGAGCATATCAAGCTAAACTTTCATATTTTATGTAAGTAGGTATAAAATGTACCGCATTTATAATGAATAATTTGATATGCTATTCACTGTACCTACCTTATAGATTATTTTATTATGCTGTACTATTAATTAGTGCAATATTTTGGCATTGATTTTATTGTTTATATATTTTTTTACCTCCTAAAATCATAATACCTTCTACTTAGTATTTACACTGGTATATTTATTTTGTAGTTATTTAGTGAATAGTAGTGCCTCGTGTTTGACCTAATTCCTTGAGATAGTTCATGCTGATAAGTACATACCTAGAAAATAGATAAGAATATTTATCAACAAATATTCTAAATAAAACGTTATCAAGCATACTTAGATATTTAATATTATTAGTTAATCCTACATTTCTTAAGTTAAACATATAAATATCCACAAAACATTTATCATTTACTTTAACACTAAAAAGTCTTTGGCAATACATAACAAACACTCAATATTGAAATTAAAAATATTATTTTGTAAAAGAGCATATCCTCAAATAGCGCCATCTGTCATTTTAGTTCTGAACTATCTTTTTGTCAAACGTTGTCGGTCATAACTCCGTGACCGCTTCACCATTCATGTTGATTATTTCTACAGCGTGCTCTGAAGGTGGTCGCCAACAAGGAATCTCGGCATATAGCGGCTCCGATTCGGCGGTGGTCGTATCAATAACGTCTAGTTTAGCTTCGCATTTCAACGCTTCGATGGCAGACTCTGTCAGAGACGCTCGCTGTAGGTTTAGTTGCTCGCTAATCGTAATAGATGGCGTTACTGAACACCGAATTTGTTGAGAACCAAAATCATGGCATCTACGAGGAACATCGGTAAATTCGTGGCTTCGTCGTGGTAAATGGTCATAATGACATTCTAGAATACCTGAAAAATGTGAAAAAGTGTTCGATGAAGAAGGTAAAATTCCAATTTAATTAATTTTTGGTGTGATCAATACATACCTCTGAAGTTTTCCAGCATTACAGGCGAAATCTGTTGTACCACAACGGGTCTCATGAATTGTTTTAAATTCCTATCAAGTGTTGATATTGGTTGATAGTGACATTTTTCGGAATTTGGAGGATCTGCAAATAAAAATAAATGTCAATAATAAAAACAAAAATATTTCGTGGCCCATGAGGGGATCGAACCCGCGACCTTCGCGTTATTAGCACGACGCTCTAACCAACTGAGCTAATGGGCCGATGTTCAGGAGAGCGAAATTCCAGTTCAAAGGTTTTTTACTATTTGATTTGACTCTGCTCTCTGGGATTATTCTTTTTTGTTAGACAGCTGGATCTTGATCATTTTGAAGATATTTTGCTTGTTTTAAAAATAGTCACAATTTTCTTAGAAACTTTCTAAAAAACGTCATTAGTATGTAGTTATGTACTCGACGAGCATGTTTGTACGAACTGAAAACCTTATGTTGCGCGCTACTATTAATAAATCGGGAATCTATAAATTTCATTTTACATTAAAATATTAATGATTTGTTTCGAATTCTATTCATGAGAGTAACAAGTTCTAACTTACCAGGCAATGGCGTATGAAAGATACTCCTCACATACGGAGGCGGCACGTCGTTGTTATCAATCATAACTTGCATTCTGATATCGTTGATCTTCCTCACATCTTCATATCTGGGCTTCTTGCATCTCTCAATCATCACTATGATCACCGCTACCGTGATCACCGCCATCATCACTCCGCCAGCTATACTTATCACCGAGACAAGATCAACTGACGACCTCTCAGTACCCTTGTCCGTCATAACAGCTGTTATGTGCTCCGGCTCTGTCAAAATATGAAATGTTTCTTCATCTCCCGATGGCTTATCAGTGGTTACTGTATTAGTTTTAGAGTTAGCTGATTTAGATACAGTCGCTTTAGTATCGTTAGTTCTATCTACTTTAGTAACATTTTTCACTGTAACAGTTTTCGTCGTCGTCTGCATGATATCCACTGTTTTGTTGGAGGATTTCTTCACATCAACATGTTTATTAGGACTTACAGTAGTTGTAGCACGTTCGGTTGCTTTACTTGCATTTAGTTTTTGCACAGCTTTTTCTATGGTTACATTACGTCTATGCGAAGACGAAGGTATGTTAGTTGAAGGAATGGTTACTGTCGTTAAAGAGATAGAAGAATTCAGTTTTTGAGTGACTGCAGTTGACGTGCGTGTCATGCTATTAGTTATATTATTTACAGAGACAGATTTGGTTGAAATTCCTTTCGTTGACGATGTACGATGTGGTGTGGACTTAGTAACATTCATAGTTGGAGTATTCATGGTCGTAGTAAAATTAGATTTTGTAGTAACATTGGTAGAAGGTTTCGTAAAAGGTGCCAATGTCGTGGTTTGGACAGACATCGCTTTGGTAGTTCCTTCAGACGACTTACTGTACGATTTGAACACTGTGACATTCTTATTAGAGATATACGACGCTGTGGATAGTGCGATCTTTTTAAACGTTGCATACGACACTGACGTGGGTATGATTGATACTATGATTGTCTTAGGCGTCGTATTCGGAATGATTTCTATCATGGTGGCATTTTTATACTTTGTATGTGGGACCTCATGGGTAACCTTCACTTTAGTTTCAACAGTAGGAGTTTCCTGACCTTTTTGGGCTGGTCTGATCCATATTTCTTTTGGTTTGAACTTGAGAGTCGTAAGGGAAATTCTTGTAGTTTCTGTTTTTCTAGTAGTCGTGTCTATTTTTGGCGTAGTTGCAGTTGTAGTTGGCAATTCTTTGACTGTTGTTGAACTTAATGTAGTCTTTGGCATTTGAGTTGTAGTCACTGTAGTCGTTTTCGTAGTGGGTATTAATTTGACAGTAGAAACTGGTGTGCTTGCCGTTGTAGTTAATTGAGTCGTCGGAGGTATCAATACAGCGGAATCAGTACTTTTTCGAGTGGTTACTGGAACTTCTGTTCTATTGTAAACAAAGCTGAGTCCTTTATTGCTTTTAGTCGTGGCTTCTGTGTATGTGCCAAGAGTGGTTGGGTTTTCTGAAGACGTTGTTACTATTTTATAAGTACTAATTGTTGTCTTTGGCTGAGTAGGTGAAACTGTGGAAGTTGAAACGTTCAATTGTTTCTTGTTTGACAAAGGCCTTTGCGTCTTCGTCTCTATTTGTAATTCGGTAGGAGCTGCAGTTGTTGTCGTGGGTGTGGTCTTCACAATCATTTCTACGGTACTTCTAGAAGAAGTGATAAGCGTGAGTGCTGTGGTAGAAGGTGTAGTGGGTTTAGTAACAGCTTTAGAAGTAGTAAGTAAGTCCTCCGCTGGCGTCGTTGAGGTTGTAGTGGTAAGTAGGTTCTCGCAACTGGAAAGGATGAAAAACAAAATTCGTAAAATTTGTACGTCTTTAAATTTCTTTTATTAAGCTCTACATTTGGTGTATCTTTTATAAACAAATCAATAAATAGTTCAATGAGCACGTAACCTTTTTTCCAATGGACGATTAGAAAAATAGCGTGTTTTATGACATTGTGATACATAATTATCTATTTATGAAAAAAATTGTTGTGGAGATGATAAGAGTCAGTACAAATTAATAATGAAAATGCGATGACGCACCTCTCACCTTGCCAGCCTTGTTGGCAGACGCACTCCCCGTTGATGGGGGAGCAGACGCCATGTTCAGAGCAGTCTTTGCACTCGTTCACGCAATTAGGACCCCATCGGTTTGGTTGACAGTCTGCAAAATGTAGATTAGGGTGTTTTATAAGATGTCGATAAACCAACTTCCTAAGTTACAAATCTTACCTACTCATTAACACAAATACTTCAAAATTAGTCTGTACTCGTATGTACATTTTATTTCAATTTTGACTATAATATTAATGTAAGATCTAATAGACTGGAAAGTTATGTTTTTGTAATATAATAGACACAGAGACTCTACAACCGTCTTGGAATACAATTTTCTTGTACTCGTATAGATGAAGGCTCATTGTCTAAGCTTGTCATTGAGGCATTATGCATCAAATCTTATGCAGCATTAATGGGTGCTATTTTAGTAACAAAATTCTATAGTCTGATGTCTGTCGATTATACATCCAATAAATAATAGTCGGCAATACCTTCAGAGCAGCCAGGCCCTGTTTTTCCGTTGGGACATATTGGCACGCAGGATACTTCCTTCATTTTGTAGCCCGGGCAGCATACAGCTACTTCTGCTGTGCGCTCTTCAGTCTGAAAGCAATGTTGTATGAAATGAAATATAAAATAAATACATTTAGTAGATACTTTCCTATAAGTACGATCGCACATTAAGCAACTTACCTAGCTACTTCTATTAGAATACGAATCTCAAATCACTATATTTTAAAATTAACATTAGTATCATTTTATTGTAAGTTGCAGTTCAATAAAGTTTTAACTTTGCCCTCAAACGAATGAGGAAATACTTTCATATATTTACTTCTTGGTAAGGTTTAACACGTGACTAATTTTTATAAATGAATGGCATCGTAATTACAGTACGGGAATGTAGCTACAATTACCACGATAAGTGACAGTCTCTTTGCAAATGATCTAGTTTTCTTCAAGGTTTTCTTTAATCTTATACGTCTGCGCAGCTCTACTTGGAATCTGTTTGATAGAAATTACTATAATAACTGTTGACATGGAAACTCAGTAAATTATTATTCTAATGGCTTATTTGCAAACCTTTAATGTAGTTGTAATGATTTAATCGCCTTAGGTCTTGGCCTATCTACCTATATCTTTAGTTGTTAATGTTTTCCTTTGAATTTTATAATTTAATTAAGGATGCAGGCGTCCGGTTCGAGCGCAAAGTTAGTAAATCAAGTATTCATAAGGACCTACAACTACATACAGATGTATTGGTTTGAAGACATCTCTTAAGTTACGCAATCAACATTTTCTGATGATGTCTCACTTAAAGCATTAAGAAGTTAGGTTTACTCGTGATTTAAGTAGGAATATAAGAGGACCTAACCTCGAGCCTTGTGAGATCCCTCATCTCAGTGTTCCAGCGGGAACACCGCGGTGGCATAGAGAAGCACCACTCGTATGTGCGGACGGACATCGGGGCACGGTACTTGATCCTCTTTGTTATGTTATACCTGAAATCAAAATTATAACATACATTAAGACCATGAAATACATTATCTGATGCCTGAGGGATTTCTAGGTCTTGGAATTTTAAAATATTTAACAATAAGGACCATTCCCATTACAAAATTTACTACCATCATGGCTTATTCAATGCTAATAATAACAAGAAGGATTTCCTGATTTCAATACTCATTTCCTTAAATTAAAAACTATAATTTTACAAATACTCCTTTCGTAACTTTCAAACTTCTCTTCCTATATTACTTCAGAAACGAATCATGCTTGACTATAAAGCAAACAAGTCTCCTTGTTAAATAGATGTAAGTCTAATTAGCGTAATAAATTCAGTTTGCCGGCGTTATGGAGATTCAAGGCACTTAGGGAAAGATCAAAGGAAATTAATAGAGCCTTAACGTCACATAATTAGCTATTTCATTACGTCATAAGTGCTCTTTGTTAAAGGATAATGTATGATTGCATTTCATAAACGCAGGACAAAGATCAAACCATGGATAAACACAAGCAATTGACATTTTAAAAGGTCAATCAGTTTTGCTAAATATATCAAACTTCCTTTAAAGTCATAAAAATATATTTGAAAGTAGTCCACTGAATACGACCTACGGTTTTCCTTTTTTGAATTGTTTTGAGTCTTTTTTGACTCGTAAATTCCTTCGTGGTTTAGTGGTAAGAGAGTTTGTCTCTATCAAATTAAAGGTCCTGGTTTGACTCCCAGGAGGAACTATCAAATTCAAATAATTTTATCGCATATCACATTAGTAAGGGTTGACAGAACATTAATATTGGTAGTGACGCCCCTTGAAGGCGATGTCTCAATGTGTCTGACACCATGAACGTGATATATCAGTAATTATATCCCCCGAAACCCAAGGTAAAAAGAGTTTCAAATATCTTTGGCAATATAAACAGCTGTTAAATTTTACGTATTCCTTTATTTGCACTAAGTGTAGATAAAAGTGAATTGTTAATAAAACTGAGATACTAATTCTTATTTCATAATTCTCATCACCTAAACAGATGATGATGAAATAACGAATAATAAATCTGACATAGTTACATTCACAGAGCCCTTAATAGGGCTCTAATTTCCTGTACTAAGTAACGTATTACGTTTTACTTTATTAGCAGGAGGATTTAGTATCTCTTGCATTGCGTCACTCGATACCTGGATCGTATTTCTACTCTGTATTCCTTATAGTTGCAATAATTTATATAACAGTCAATTTACTTATTACTTAAGAATTAGTTACGAAGGGATAAGGTACCTTTTCTAAAACTAGATCATTATGAATAGTTATTAAAAGTACAGTTATACAATCCAATGCTTATAATATACTTGTATATTGTTATCTTAATTAGCTAGCCCCAATCTAATTAGCGCTTGTACATGTATCATTTTAAAGTTACTCTAAAGTTGGGCATAATTCTTGTGTTAATTTTGATTTAGAGTCAATGATAAAAGATAAAAACACTTTCAACCACTTTTTTAAACAAATCACACCGGCAGANTGGACGAAATCGGTTTGACACTGCACTGGTATAGTTTTTATTACACTGATCATTAATTCACTTTCACAACTTGGATTCGCACTAACGGGGAACACAGTCATGACGTCGCAGATGTAGTCGCTCGGGCTTATCGCTATGCATTCCTTCAGTGAGTCAAGGTTACAATATTCCGATCTGTCCTTGGTCATTGCTATGTATCTNTAATACTATCTATAGCAGCCTCCCAGCAGCACATCAAGGAGACGCAGCGACGTAGTAGACAATATACTTGCACATAACTCACCCTCTGAAGGTGTCAAGCGCTTGTAACCGCTGCTGGATGGCCAGCTCCTTGTCCCCGTAGCGCAGCTTGCCAGTCCGGCGCACGCGCGACATCAACAGCTGCACTCATACGTATAGCAGCCTCCCAGCAACTCGCCGAAAAGAACCAGCAGCGCTGTTAAATAGTATACTGGCACATAACTCACCCTCTGAAGGTGTCAAGCGCCCGCAGCCGCTGCTGGATGGCCAGTTCCTTGTCCCCGTAGCGCAGCTTGCCAGTCCGGCGCACGCGCGACATTAACAGCTGCACTAATACTACCTATAGCAGCCTCCCAGCAGCACATCAAGGAGACGCAGCAACGTAGTAGACAATATACTTGCACATAACTCACCCTCTGAAGGTGTCAAGCGCCCGCAGCCGCTGCTGGATGGCCAGCCTCTTGTCTCCGTAGAGCAGCGCGACATCACCAGCCGCACCAAGACATACAGCAGCATCCCAGCAACTCGCCGAAGAGAAGCTTGAATGCTATCATACAATACATATACTTGCACGTAACTTACCCTCTGAATGTGTCAAGCGCTCGCAGCCGTTGTTGGCTGGCCAGCCTCTTGTCTCCGTAGAGCAGCGCGACATCACCAGCCGCACCAAGACATACAGCAGCCTCCCAGCAACTCGCCGAAAAGAACCAGCAGCGCTGTTAAATAGTATACTGGCGCATAACTCACCCTCTGAAGGTGTCAAGCGCTCGCAGCCGCTGCTGGATAGCAAGCTCCTTGTCCCCGTAGCGCAGCTTGCCAGTCCGGCGCACGCGCAACATCAACAGCTGCGCTAATACGTATAGCAGCCTCCCAGCAGCACATCAAGGAGACGAAGCAACGTAGTAGACAATATACTTGCACATATCTCACCCTCTGAAGGTGTCAAGCGCCCGCAGCCGCTGCTGGATGGCCAGCTCCTTGTCCCCGTAGCGCAGCTTGCCAGTCCGGCGCACGCGCGACATTAACAGCCGCACCAAGACATACAGCAGCCTCCCAGCAACTCGCCGAAAAGAACCAGCAGCGCTGTTAAACAGTATACTTGCACATAACTCACCCTCTGAAGGTGTCAAGCGCTCGCAGCCGCTGCTGGATGGCCTTGTCCCCGTAGCGCAGCTTGCAAGTCCGGTGCACGCGGGACATCACCAGCCGAACTAACACGTATAGCAGCCTCCCAGCAGCACATCAAGGAGACGCAGCAACGTAGTAGACAATATACTTGCACATAACTCACCCTCTGAAGGTGTCTAGCGCTCGCAGCCGCTGCTGAATGGCCAGCCTCTTGTCTCCGTAGAGCAGCGCGACATCACCAGCCGCACCTAGACATACAGCAGCATCCCAGCAACTCGCCGAAGAGAAGCTTGAATGCTATCATACAATACATATACTTGCACATAACTCACCCTCTGAAAGTGTCAAGCGCTCGCAGCCGTTGTTGGCTGGCCAGCCTCTTGTCTCCGTAGAGCAGCGCGACATCACCAGCCGCACCAAGACATACAGCAGCCTCCCAGCAACTCGCCGAAAAGAACCAGCAGCGCTGTTAAATAGTATACTGGCACATAACTCACCCTCTGAAGGTGTCAAGCGCTCGCAGCCGCTGCTGGATGGCCAGCTCCTTGTCCCCGTAGCGCAGCTTGCCAGTCCGGCGCACGCGCGACATCACCAGCCGCACCAGGACGTACAGCAGCCATGATCCCAGCAGCACGCCGAGGAGAAGCAGCAAAGCTGACAATAAACCATCCTTATCGTAATAGGATAATTTTAAAAAGCCTGATCGTTACTACGGTTTGGTAGACGGACGTGAAATGGCTTTTGTCTTTGTACAGTCAGCGTCAAAAAGTTTGTAACACCCGAAATGGCCAATAGGTCTTTGTTACAATTGGAATAAGGTTGTGTTGTCCCTTTTTGGCCACTTTAGGTGGCACGAGCTATTTGACGCTGACTGCACCCACTCAGAAGGTACACTATCAACCAGAATCTGGCCAACTATAAACCTAATGATGAAGAAAATTTAACGAGGGAAACTCGGGAGAAATACATTAAAGGAAATCTACGTCTTAGCTCTACTACGTATTGCTGGACGTCCTATAACTACGAACATGCAATGCTAAAGGTTATATGTATCATAGTAGTTGTAGTGCATAGGTAGTGAGTACAATTGCCGTTGAAGCTGCTGTAAAAGATTATTACCTAAATCTACTCAGATGCGCGAAAACTCATTTCGTCTAACCGAAAAACGCAGAACAACTAGAACCATAATACGGAGCACAGTTAATTACTGCGTCTAAACCTTTAAACACTAACGAATGGTTACTTTATACATATGTGTGATCTAAAATAAATCAAAATCAATTTACAAGTAGCAGTTACACCATAAACGTAGCCGCAAAGGTAGGTAGTTGCTTGTGTCTCTAATCGCCAGGTAGGTACGGTGACAGCGGTAGTGGTTACGATAATTACTTGCGTAATAATCAATGGACAGCAACCAGAAATGGTTATTAGCTGTTTTATAATATAATTACTAATTACATTAAGCTACACTGATTGTAATTTCAAGGCGAGAATAGAAAGGTGCTATCAAACTTGGATAGTTATAAAACGTCAAGCTATAGACCGCATGAAAATCGTATGGAAAAACAATTTTACTAATCATTACCGATTCATCGAACTGTTGAATCATTTTAACATGACGGCTTTTTACTGTATACTTTGAGTGAGATATCATCAAATGTGATAATCCTATACTTTTAAAGTGAGATAATATCAGTAGATTGTACCAACCAAAATACTACAAAGGCAACCAACAGATCCTAACGACATTATGTAATTTTAACAAGGGTTAAATAAGTCATTATTCTAGTATGAATAACAGTTTAAAGCGCCATACATTTGGCATTTTCCCATGAAATTTGCATCTAACCACTATATTTTTTGCTTTAATGGGAAGCCGATTGCATGACTGTTCTTACACAGTGACTGAGATACTATTCACACGACCTAATCTAAAGCTAGCGACGGTCTTGTCATGTTTTTATCGTTTATTTACTACATCATCGGAATTCTATGATTTTCAATGATTCAGACTGATCCAGATTATTACTCGTAAAACTTGAAAATGACCTAAACCTACAAATATTCGTTAGGTAGGTATTTAACTACTATAAATTGAAAAGGACATTGTCAGAAACCGCCTAAAAAACCGCCCAAAAACATTAACCCATCATAATTATTTTCTATTTTTTTTAATACATTAAGCACCCTTTCATTCTAATGGACACTTAAGCATTGAAAAATNTTTAATTATCTCTTTATTTTGTATAATAAATATTTCATAGATCAGTAGTAATTTTCCTTATTTTCATACTTTTTTTTGCGTTCCGCTAAATCTGCCGGTGTGTGTATTTTTTATCCTTCTTACAACAGAGAGTAACAGAGATCCTGAGAGTAATTAATTCAGGAAACAAAGAGCTTTGTTCTTTCCTTTCCCTTCATAGTTATTGTAAATGTTTATTTACACATTGAAATCAAAATCACTTACTTCTGCTTCACCATGCACACGTTGGGCCCGCTCAGCGCTATCGCTTCCATCACCATCATCATCACCACCGCCACCAGTATCCATGGTCGAGTCCTCGTCCACACGCACTTCACTGAGATCATCATCGTCACTCACTAGTTCCAATCCATCATTAAAGTTTATAGTTCTCACAACATCTTAAATTAAGTTTGCACTGGCATTGTGGATGATTTTTCAGATACTGCCCTGCAGGTTTTTCTTTACGTTACCTGTGGAAAAATAAATGTGTTTAGTTAACGTCCGAAGTTATTCTTCAAAATGTAATTTTCATTTAGATTGGATCATTCATTGGTATTTTCATAGTTATCAAAGGGAACGCACATGATGTTAATTTTAAAATTTAAGTTTTAATTATAATTTTATAACATTAAATCATTCTCATCACCTAAATTCACTATTACATTGATTATGTTTTTACATTTCCCATTTACAATATGAAATAGCTTTGGGTCTCGGATGAAAAATAGTCTAACTTAGTTCGTCTCAGCACCGGCCCATTTATTGTCCCGAAGCAGTGGTAGGGTTAATACTGGGACGTGTAAAAGTGCCTTTAAAAAGCCTACTTACATAAATAAATGAGTTTTATGAGTTTTAGTGTGGTTAACAGAGGTCTTATCATAGGTCACCAAACGCCGGGGATTGATCACAGCAGTTAAAAGAAAGGGTTTATGCTTGTTTGTATAGGTTAAGTAGGAAGGGGTAGTAATAATACCTTTTATCTTTTAAATAAAGCAAGCAAATACGAGTAGCTATAACATAGTTCAACCTTACAAGAGCTATGCATGAATGAATAGCAACAGTTAATATTAGTTAACTTATAGTAGCAATTCATTGCATGGGAGCCGTAACTATCTCAAGTGACAACGACAATTACTCAATACCCTCGGGACTCTCCCCTCTGGGTTACTTGACCTCTCGAATGACGTATTCGGGTTATGGATGACGTGGATGGAATGAATATGGATTTAATTAAAGCTTTCAAGTGCATGGAATGTGATAATTAAAGGTTTGAATTTGGAGCTTAGGGTGATTTTGGAGGGAAAGTATAATTTTCCAATTTTAGCTTGTTATTAATTGAACTCTTGTTTATGTTCTTTGAAGCGTTAATTGATAAGTGTTTGACGGAATGGTTTTGTTGGGATGATATCAAAAGGTTTTATCAAAGTAATTTCGTAAGATTGCTTTGTTCAAAGTAATTTTTTTTGGACCTAATTCCATAATTTGAATGAGATGGAGTCACAAACTGTTATAGAAATTAATTTTTAAATACGTAGATTGTTAGGAAGTTGTAGATTAAGTTGAGCGTGAATAGGCACTTACAGGGCAGATATTATTATGTACCATTCCTAGACTGCATCCCACTTAACATCAGGTGCGATTGTGGTCAAAGACCTGCTTTGTTATGCATAAAAAAAACTTTGATTGAATTGAATTGAACATTTCTCTGATGGGTTTAGCCTCTCCTAATTTTATGGACTCTTAAAATGGTCTCGTATTTTTTTGACAATCCCATAGTATAGACTTTTCAGATCTTGTCTCAACCTACAGAGATTTGAATAATACGTCACACGCGGGAGTTCGCGCGTTGCGCCGGCGCAACAGGATGTGCCGTTTGCGCTTATCAATGCCGACGACCTCTGGCGACGAAAGCTGACGATCGCTAAACTCTTTTGTGCTGCGAAGAGTGTTAGCAATTGCTTTTTAAACTCGGTTGTCAAGTGACTATGATAATATAAGATGAATACGAGATTTTAAGAATACTCATGTAAGTTTGAATTGTGATACCATTCTCGGCTATCGTCAAGGATGTTAGTAGCAAGGGACTGACTGTAAGATTTACTTTTTATAATAATATCATATAATAATGATGATGCTATAAAAACTGTAATAGCGACGGCAACAACCTTTGCCGACTCCAGATCCTAATATAGAAAAATCTTACGCTTTTCGGTTTATTTTATCTTAGTTTATCTATACTACTATTTAATACTTCAATATCCTCAAACAAAACCACGAATCCTCTTTTATTTCTTTGATTTCCTTTCGTAATAATGTCCTTCTTTCTTTCTACCACCTCCCGACCTTTCTCCATGGTCGTATATTCGTTCAAATTCGACACCAAGTTCAAAAACACTATCACAATCAATCAAACACAAGCATAACCCGGTGTTTTGTCAGCGCGCAGGCCCCAACGGCCTGATGGGTCCCCAATGGGTCTCTTCCGTCCGTCCATTACAATATTGCGCTATGAATATATTGGGACTAGTGACAGGTTTCCTCTCCGAAGTACATGGAGTGTGATAGTTCTGAAGTTATTTACTTTTAGAGCAACTTTATCTCCAGTAGTATTTTTGACGCCTGTGCTCTATGCAAAATTTTTGTCAATTATTTCTTTTTCCGAAAATGAGGTTAGGTTGCAGGTCCATAGGTTGTGGCGGAGTTTTGGGCTGACAATGTGTAGGTTTGTTGTCGACACGAAAAGAAGAAGGTCCATAGGTTGTCTCGAAGAGATCACTTCATAGCAATAAGACCGCCTAGTTGTACCTTATGTGTTCCTTTTCTTTCTGTTCTGTTCTTTGGTGTACGTTTTAATGGGCTTATCATCATTTCTATTCTATTCTATAACCTTTTTAAGTTAAATTTATAACGCTTGTATTAGAGGTAGGTTTACCACAGCAGACTAAGGGATGCCTTAAATAAAATAAATAAATGACGGGGTTCGAATTGTCGACATTCTAATCGCCAGACTGGAACCATTGAGCTATTGTAACGTTTTAAATATTTTTTCCCGAATAAAAACTGATTTGCAGTCATAAGAAACAATAAAACGACCAAAACAAATGTGAGAAATTGTCTTAGATTCTAGTTCCAGTGACCTACTCATATTCCTGGACACAGAGTAGATAGTGGGCTAGGTCGTTAGTTAATTGAAAATCGTTAAGATTGCAGCAATCGTCCAGCTGTGAGGATACGTGATCCAGTTAGATAACGCTTACGCTATGATACGCAGTTCCGAGCGCAATTCTACAATAGTGCGTTTCTATTCTGCAGGGTACATAAACGTATTGAGTATTGAGAGTATTTTTTTAATGAGATTCTATGTAAAGTTCAAAAGCTTTAATTTTTACAGCTACGAGTTATTATTAATTTTGTTTCATATGTTTTTGTTATGTACCTGACTGTATTACTATTACGTACTTATTATTATTCTGTGCTATTACTACCAATTTGTAGAGTACGGAAAGACGACATTTGCGCAATAATAGGTAGAGTAGTAAGGTTTTTATTTTTCTTTATGACGACTTAGGAGTATATTTAGTAAATAAGTAGGTAGGTAATTCGATAATATAATTTTACTTAAAGTTCACTAATAGAAGCCTAGACTGTAAACTGTTTGTATACCTATTACAAATAAATAAATAAATAAATAGGCACAAAGAAGACAGACTTGGATTATTTAAATTGTTGATTTTAAAATGCAGCTAATCCTGTGTAAATATGTTACTAATTTTAGTTTTAGAATCAAAGATATTAAATTTTTATGTCTCTACCAAAATGCACAGAATATCAGTAGACATGTAAAATCACGTAGTTACGAAACCTTTTAAAGTCCGTCCTTTGCGTTACCATTCCGTCGTCCTGTGACTCGTCCAAACATGGCTTCTGTTAATAGGACATCTGTTATTTAGCTAAGTGGCCGCCGGCACGATATTTAATTGGCTTAACGATTCCACCATGCACTCCCAGTTACATAATTATATTCGGCTTGATACCCCACTCTGAAAACCGAATCCGATAAATGGCTCTATCTGTCTCCCTCAGTCGCATTGGGATCGTGGTATGTGTGATAGAGATGGAATCTTAGAATAGGCCTTTTGAAATCTTTGTAAATGGTAGACCCTCGCCACTGTGGGAGGCGCGTAACTTCAGTTCACTTTGAAGAATAGTTTTAATGTTGCGTTAAAATGTAACAGTCATAAAGATTTTGAACATTGTAGTTGCTAGTATCCAGTTAATGTTGTTTTATTTATTGTTAGGTAGATAACTAACTTGTTGCTCTCCGGTATCACTACAATGGTGTCAGAGATCGTAAGCCACAGGTGCTTGATAAAAAAAGTAATGAAGATCATTTATTTCGCACAATCCGTTTATTTAAATCCCTAACCGGGTGTCTACAAGATGAATTTTATTTTCAACTTTCGTGTCCCGTCTGGAAATCGTACCTAGTATCTCTAGATCTATGGATTTTATCTATTTAGGTAATCAATTTTAAAATAAATATCGTATGTTAATGGTGCCCTAAAAATATTAATATTTTCATACAAAATTTATTCTAAGAAAGGTCTTTGTTTTCTCTCGGTAACTCCTCGAAATTACCCCATTTTTCGTGGTAATGCGCCATCGCGTTTTCTTTTTAAACAACATCTCCGCATCTCCGCGGACCTCTGTAATCTTTCCTCCAATATTTACCCTCGAAATGGGGACGCAAAATGATATTTTACTAAGCTTTTTTGCTTTGGGTTGCTATAAACCCTTTTATCCTTACAGAATGTTGAAAATGCCAGGAATAGTGTGGATTTTGTATGTACGAGCAATTTCTTTTATGATCCAGGTATATGGGTAGAAGCGATAAGTTTTCATCGAAAGGCCCATTTATATTGTTCCATAAAATACCTACTATAGGAAAGTTTTAGATTAGATTTTGCCGTTTCGGATAAGCTTTCAGGTTTGAAAAAGCGATCGGCATTTTTTATGCAAAAATACACATTAACGCCCGTATTCACAAACTTTACTATGAGGTCTCACAGTGCGCGTGGACGCACAGGGTGACACACGAACCAATCACAGAACTCTATTCAACGCTGTGCGTTCGATTTGCTGCTTCACTTTAGCAAGCATCGTTTGTGAATACGGGCGTAAGTCTTATATGTAAAATCAAATTCTGTTTCAGCCGCGCTCGTGCACTCTGCTACGAGTATACTATTATGAAAAACTCCATTAATTTAGTATTAACAATTTTCGTTCGTTCGTTCGTTCGTTTCAGCCGAAAGACGTCCACTGCTGGACAAAGGCCTCCCCCAAGGATTTCCACAAAGACCGGTCCTGCGCCGCTTGCATCCAGGTACTTCCCGCGACCTTTACCAGATCGTCGGTCCACCTAGTGTTAATTAACAATTTTACACACTTCGAAATAATGAACACTATACCTATCATGATAGAATCGAGATAATGACCACTCTCGTTAATGTCTATAAAGATTCTATTGATTCGTTCTCACGAAGTGTTTTTAATTACTTTATCAAACAAATATCGAAAGTCTAACAAGTTTATCGAAGGAAGTTTATAATATTGTTTGTACAATAAAATTTCGATCACTGCATCATTATCAAAGATAACCAATTAATTAATTAGAGTTCACACAAATAATGTAGGTAGGTAATTAAAATGAAATAAAGCATTTTATTATGTTTTTACGAAAAAATCAATCTACATTTCTAGCTCTATTTTAATACGGCAATTTATTATTTGAAAACTAAATATCGGAAACTATTACTCGTATCATATTTTGATATAATATAATACAAAAATAATGGACAAAGTAAATAATTATATTCATATAATTTCAAAATTATTTATAGATTTGTAAATAAACCAATATTATTAAATTCTAGTTTCTTTGTACTCTACGAGTATAATACGAGTAAAATACAATTCTAACCCTTATCATAATTAGCTCTTATATCTAATTAGCATAAATAAATATTTACCTAATTAATCAAATCGGTCACTTATAGTCCATTCGCACTTGTCACAATCACAACAATGTACCAGGCTGTCAGAAACCGCGCGGGATGCGACGCGGACGGCAGTCGCCAGACGACTGGCGGGATGCGCCGGGATCGCTCGGGATAGTCTGGATAGAAAGCAATCAGCGAAATTAGGGATAATTGATATTAATGACGGATTTAGGTTAATGTTTTTGGGGATAACTGTCGTTTTTCGGATTTGAGACGATGCTGATGCTGAGAAAATACGCTCTATCGTGTAATATTACTCTATCTACTCGTACACTAGTGTTATAAAGAAGAAAGATTTTATTGTTTGTTTGAATTAAATAGGCTCCAAAACTATTGAACCGATTTGTGAAAATCTTTTATCATTAGAATCCTACTATAGTTCTGATGACCATAGGCGTATTTTTGCGGTACATAGTCCGCCAAGGGTCATCTAGTACGTAATGAAAAGATGAAGAAATAATTTTGACTACAAATATAGGGTTTATGTAGCGACTTACTTACTTACTATTTAATAACGACGGTAATAATGTAGAGCGACAGTAGATTTTAAGAGACTGAGTGCCTAAACACTCACTATGTCTATAGTTGCACTCTAGGGTGGTAAATACCTGTCTCAGTTCTAATATCAGGTGTAACTGCTGTCAAATACCTGCCTTTTATTGCTTTCAAAATATTTTACCAAGTATTATAAGGCTAGAATTAAATATCTCGTGTAATTATTTAAAAGTCAATCACAGTCGACTCTACAATATCAAGCATCTAAAACTATCAAGGTTATCAAAGAAAATAAAGTATGAAATATACAGAGTGGAAATTTGTAATGCCACCTGGAGGGAAAGTACTCTTAATATTGTAGATCGATTTTTTTTCTCTAAGAAAACATTCCTTTATTTCTGAAAAGAAATAGAACTGCATTCAAAGATTTCCAAAAAATTGCTTGCCACACCCGGAAATCGAACCAACTAAAATCTGTTACAAATTACCCCCTGTCTTTTTATTGCATCGATCGTTAGGGTTAAGTATAAGGATGAAATCTCTCTAACAAACTTGATAAATCAGATTTAAAGGAAAACTATGAAATCTTAAATTATTTTAATTTTGTACAGAAAATTGTATGATAAAATATGGTAGTGAATTATTTTCGAAAAATTTTCGAAAATCTTTGAATGTAGTTCTCTAGTAATAAATTTTCTATCTACATAATTAAGAATACTTTCCCTCCAGGTGGCATTACAAAATCCCACCCTGTATAAAAGAGTAACTTAACAATGCAATTTGTTACATGACCCTTTTGAAACTGATAAGTAAATAATTGCTTTATTAATTAGCACTATGTAGTTATCAAGTAAAAGAGTCGGGGGCATAGGTCTGTTATTTGTCTTATTGTGTTTATATGAGGTCACATCAAAATTGTTATGATACTGATATAGTTTTAGCATAATTATTCCTTACAAGACAATTATCAATAAATTGTCCTTAATTATTTTTTCTTATAAATACAAAGTACGAATTTAGAAAAAAAAGCTCTCTGCTGAAAAGTTTGATAGTTTCTCTTTTAACTTTTTTTTAAGACGAGTGTTTCTTTTGTCGTATTTTATATGCAATCGTTTAAATAGTAAATAGTTTTCTACTCTTACTTGTAAATAGTAAAACTCATAAAACTAATTTATCTGTAAGTAGGCTTTTAAAAGGCACTTTTACACGTCCCAGTGTTAACCCTACCACTCCGGACAATAAATGGGCCAGTGCTAAGATTCGCAGCGCAAGAAACTCAGTTAGTAGTAAACTAGTAAGACGACAAGCGCCATCTTAAGAAACTAGTCAAACCTCTATTCCGAACTAAAACTACCAGGCGAGCAGAGATCCAAAGGCGGTGGCTACAGTGTAGACGCTCGATAAAGCCGGCGACACATTGTCGAGGGAGGGGCGCCTGTGGCAACTAACTACTCGCATCACAGATGCAGGGGAGTGTGGTTAGTCGCATATTTTGATTTGGAACGGAATAAACAAACGATAATGGTTACTTAGCTATTGCTATTCTTATGGAGAAATAAACATTTTGTTTAACTGTTAATGTTTTTTTTCGTCACAATAACTAATAAACAAACGATTTAGTTACTTAGCTATTGCTATTTTTATGATTTACGAACATTTTGTTTACCTGTTAATGTTATTTTTCATAACAATTACGTTGTAAATCGTCTCTACATTGCACAATAAAGAAATGCTCTAACAGTTTAAAGTTATAGGTAGGTATTATAGGTATTATTTAAGTAATAGTACCCATCTAGTATTGGAATATAATATTAAAACAATAATATCTTTTGTAGAAATTATTTCCGATTTGATTAATTTTTACCCGACTGCGCCAGAAAGAGGGTTATGTTTTTCGAGTGTATGTATGTAGTTCATTTTTACACAGTTAGGTTTTTTATGTTTTTATTCTACTGGCCTATTATTGCTATTTCTGTAACAGTTTGCATGTGTTAGTGTGTGTATTCAATCAGTGTATGATGTGTATAAAGAGGTCTGAAATACAGATCTAATTGAACAAGACGTTATAATTGGAAACTGGAGTCGAAATCAGTGGATAGACAATTAACCAATTACGTAATATCAGAGTTCGGTTTTAGCTTCTAATTTAATTAAGATAGTGGAAGCGATAGTCAAATATGGGACAAAAATCTCAGGCTTCTTACATAAGCTAAATTTTTGGTGATATAATAGTTCATAGTTATTTTATAGACATCTTATTGGATTAATATTAAAAATTCCTAAATCATATTGTTCACGATAGTTGTTTCAATCAAAATCATAAATACCTACCTAAAGTCATCTATTATGTTGCATAAAATAACATATTTCCTCCAGAACTATGCGACAAGTAGGTAGTTACAATTTAGTTATTAATTACCTAAATGATAATATCTTCAACTAAATGGTAAACCTACATAAATATATCAAGACATTCTAAACGCTCATAAGTAATTTTATTAAATAAGTCTAATTAATTTTATGTTTTAATATATTCACGACGTCATAATACGAGTACATAATATCAGAACTAGTTAAACTATTACTACTAGGAAAACGAAACTATATCACAACTAAAAGTACCAGGAGCGCATAACGCAAGCGGAGCTTTCTTAAACTTACAAGTAACGCTGTAAGGTTGGCGTCTCACTGTCCGAGAGTAGGGCAGGGGTCTGTCCTCCCGAGTTTACTTACAGATTAAATAAATAACTAACCGTTATTGCCAGGCGATAAGAGCGTGGGGATTAATAAATATACGGCCAAAATAGAATCTCCTTTGTTGTGTGGGGAGGGGTGAAAATAAATGCGCCGTGATTCGGAATGAGGATTTAAACAGCACGTTATCTCTGTGTTTGGTGTAAATTGACAAACTAATGAGGTAATTTTAAGGGAAAAAGGTCTGTTGACGTTTTTTCTTGGGGGCGGGATGTTGTGCTAGACAAATTTTTTAGTTAACGATTCGTTGAGTTTATTTCTTCAAAGCAATACATAAAATTGAGAACCAAAGGTGCTATTTGGAGAGGGAACATATTAGCTATTTAATTGACTGTAAAATCCAATTGATAGCCATTTGAAAGTGTACCACCACATTATACGATTTAAATTATCAAATGTTTTTTCTTGAGGGCGGGATGTTATTCCAGACAGATTTTTATAAGTGAACGATTGCTTAAATCGTCGAGTTAATGTTTTCAAAGCAATGCAGTGAACCAAAGGTGCTATCTGGAGAGGGAACATCATCATCATCTTATCATCCAATTTTTGCTAGACATTTGAAAGTCTACATTAAGTCACAATACAATTTAACCCTTTACCTACGGGCCCTTGGAAACCCAATTGGGGTATTTTAACCTATAAAATTGTTTGCTCCACTTTACATCAAGATATTTTAAAAAGTATGAGACTTACGGTATTGAAATTTAGAATATTATATTCTGCAACTAATGTAGTTTCATAATTACAAGCGCATTTTACACTTAATTTGCAATTTTATTGTTTTTTTTGTCGTAAACCGTGTTTTAGTATTGGCTTTGCCAAAATAACAATAGATGCCACCCGTATTGAGAAGTGACTTTTGACTTGGCAACTATAGGTGCCTCCCGTAGGTAAGAGGTTAAGAATAAGTTAAATTGTCTAATTTTATGTTGATCTAACACAGTTTAAAACAAAGCGATAAAGCGTCACAGGTGCTTCTCCCTTTTTGTCGATAATAAAATACCAGGATGGCATACAATATTGAAGATGATTGTGCCAGTATCAACTATTCATTCGAATACCGTGCATGTCAACACAAACATCGATGTATGTACATGTACACATCTCCCCTCAATACGAATACTACCAGGGTACTATCTATAAATAATAGGTATGTACATTGTCGAGCGGCACTGCGGATATTGAAAAGTAAAGTCAATTTTATGTGTATTCACTTTTGTAATTTCCAGCACTTTCCTGTGCCATCGTTTCCCATAATTCTTACTTGTTTATCTTATTTCTTTCATGTGAATCGAACATTTAGACCATGAAGCACCAAACCCAAAACAGGCTATAACAGACCCCTGGGTATCGACTATCGTTAGAGTAGGTACTTTGGGTATCAGCACTTTAGTATATGTGTACGTAGACTATTACATACAAAAATACCTGTTTTTGATTCCCAACAAACCATAAAGGTAAGAATATTTCTGTACATTGGGTACTTTACTAAATGCAGAATGCACCAATGCAATAGTTTACAAACTAACACCCTATTCGAGCTTCTACTGGTTTCAATGTGTACATATTCATTGTTATTCTTTCCCTTCACACTGGCCCAGTATGAAGTCTACCAGGGCAGTATAACCTCCAAGTATGCAAACTATTAAGAGATCATTTAACTCTCATTTGTGAATTTCCGTTGCCATCCTTTCCCTTTACACTCGCCCAGTAAGAAAACTACCAGGGCAGTATAACCTCCAAGTATGCAAAACTATTACAAAGCATTTACATTCAATTCTCACCTTTATTACCAACTAGCTGACCCGGCGAACTTTGTTCCGCCTTAATTTTAATTTCGAACGGGATAAAAAGTATCCTATGTCCTTCTCCTGGCTCTAAACTACCTCCCTGACAATTTTCAGCTAAATCGGTTCAGCCGTTCTTGAGTTATAAGTGGAGTAACTAACACGACTTTATTTTATATATATAGATATAGATATTTCACTTGTGCTTTCCCTTTGCGCTAGTATGAAGACTACCAGGGCATTATAACTTTTGAGTATGCGAAATATTATGATCATTAGTTACATTCAATTCTCACCTTTATTACTATTATTTCACTTGTGAATTTCCGCTGCCGTCCTTTCCCTTTGCGCTAGTGTGAAGACTACCAGGGCATTATAACTTTTGAGTATGCGAAATATTATGATCATTAGTTACATTCAATTCTCACCTTTATTACTAGTATTTCACTTGTGAATTTCCGCTGCCGTCCTTTCCTTTTGCGCTAGTATGAAGACTACCAGGGCGACAGACGACGCGAGTAGTTTCGCGACGCCGAGGCGCCCTCTGCTCTCACAGCAATAAACACGGGGGCGGTAGTGGCTTATTTAATATGGTTGGGCTATGAAGTGGGCGGTGAGGAAATAAAGACGTTACGTGTACAGAAGATGGTGTAAAAAGTAAATCATAATAAGTTATAGTTATAAAAGTATAGTAGTAGTTACTAAAGATTTTTTTTTAAATCTTTGGACAATTTCACACAGCGCCAGCTAGCCCCAAAGTAAGCAACTTAATGCTTGTGTTATGGGTGCTAGCTTAACGGATATACTACTTATATACTTTTTTTTTAAATACATACATATTATACATAGTAGTCACACCCAGACCCGTCACAGAAATTAAAATTCATCATTCAATTTCTGCCCGGCCGGGAATCGAACCCGGGACCTCTCGGCATAGTAGTCCGTTCTGAACCACTACACCAAACGGCCGACAGTTACTAAAGATACTGTTGTATAAAAGAAAAGTAACGATGAATACATTTTTCAACTAACGCCCATGTGATGTAGCAAAACGGCTAATGCCCGTATTCACCATCAATCCGTAAATTTTAAGTGACCCTGATCCCTTAATTAATAAAATTCCTGTTAAGTGTTACCATAGGGGTCACTTAAAAAATAGGAATGGATGGTGAAAACGGGTATAAGCCACTTAAATTTAGGAAAAGAGTTTGTGTAGTTAGGGGTTGTAGAGTTAGAAGCTGGTGTGTGACTCTACATAAGATCTCACTATATTTTCACAATACGAGCCAATGGTTTCGTCTATGAAACATTTTGTTTTGGTGCTAACTATTGTCTGGCACAAGCTTTAGTAGATAGCGCTGCGTAAAATGTTCAAGGACATAATAAATTCCTCATTATCGTATCCCTTACGAAACTTTTTATTAATTTTCTTCAACTTGCCGACTGTATGGCCCAACCTTATGATAGGGAAGGTCAACATTACCGTAGTTTATATTGGCGGGAGCTGTATCGGGATGTTTTTACTGGATTTTACATCAGCTTTCATAGTAAACAGCCATCAATCTTCTGCGTAATTAAAAATAGTACTGTTTATTTAGTAATTTTATCAATATTTGTATTTGTACAATCTGATTAAAGAGAATGATGTAATTACGTACGAGTAGGGTTAGTTTTGGGGGCTAAAATGAATAAGTCAACATCATATCCATTTCTATGTCATGTCGTTAAAGGTTCCCATATTATTGTCCTTAGCATAGTTTTACATAGGTATCTTTCACATCAACATTTTTTTGAACGTTTTGGCATATAAACTTACAGGTGCGTCACATTTTGCGCTTTAATAATCGTAAGTTCGTGAATTTAACAAAACTCAATTCAATTCAATTTTATTTCATTACGTAGAGAAAAAAATATCTAAAATAGGCCTCAAACATCATGGGTAACTAAAAAATAAGGAGAATTGATATAGACTCCTTTCTCGTTTTTATTACACACTCATAAAGCTCTTTGTAGCCGACTCTACCGGGTCGATAAGGTGTGGTCTTTCCTTAAAAGGAAAAGGCATAAAACTGCACGTAGAATATTTAATTTTAAGCAGTTGGGTGTGACGTCACCTTTTTTGAATAGTAGCATAACACTACTAGGTTGAGTGTAATTCGTTAAAATCTTGTAAAGTAGAGATGGAGAGTGATGAATCATATTTTAAAGAGAGTAGTATGAGTCCAGTCCGGTTTTACTACATAAATTACATACTTATGCTTATGATCCATCTGACTGATTTCAGCCATGGTGACCATTACGACTTCTAGCTGTCTTGGCGGCGCTGGTGTGCCCGAAGATGGCTTACGTAGCCGATCTTCGCGGCAAACCCCCTCGCACATATGTATACTACTTACCTACAAAAGTGGTAGGAGTTGCCATCCCCAATAATTGGCAAACATGTCACAACAAAATTTCTATTTCGGTGTTAATTGAATAGAAATACATCATGATACAGCAAGATCATAATCATTAGTCCCCCTGCCCAGACAAATGACCGATTAGTCAATACGATGACCGACAATTGACCCGCATCGGGCAACCCAAGTAGATTAATATCAATCAAGGTTTACTTGGAATAGCTGGGGTAAGTTTAACACAAGTATGTTAAAGGGAGTTTATGAATTTACATCAGTAGGGGTGTGATATGCGCCACGATATAATTTTATCGATTTTAGACGATAAGCCGATACATTTGTCGTCAATAATCAACGATATGATTATAACCGCATCCTAGGCCGGCAGGAGACGTAGAGTCGTAGTATGTTAAGAATTTAAAACTTTCATGTTTTATTTATTTATTTATTTTAAAATGTAAATGTAGTCTCTTTCAAAGTTATTATCTTTTGAAACGTAATGTATTGGCGAACCTAATTTTCCTTTATTATCTTAAAGGTTCAAAACATATTAAAAGTGACAATGATAAAAAGAAAGTCGGGATCTTATAAAAATAAATAATTTATGTGGATAATAATAAAATTTAAAGAACACACATAAAATCAAAAAGTTTTAATCAGTTATCACATTACATTCATGTCATGTTAATTCAGTTAAATATTTACAAAATAACTAAGGTCTAAATAAAGATACACTTACGTCTAAAAATATACAAAACTGTTGTTAATATAACCCTGAGGAAAGTGGTTAAGTACTTATAACATTTTTATAATAACTGTGTAACTCAAAATAATAGAGCTCTGAAAATCATGTAACAAACAATAATGATTTTGATTCTTTGTAATTTTTTGTATTACTTAGATATCTCGTAAAACAAAACATATGGATATTGTAGTTTTGACAATAAATTCAATAAAACAAATTGACAAATCCTCCATAATAATATTAAGACAAAATACATCGCTTGTCTTTCAGATCTACAAATTATTATTTTAATCAGAGCCTGGTCACTGTCAGCTAGCAGATACAATATTTTCATTTTACGATGCACCTTTTAACCATGTGGTCAGGCCGTAACAAAATTCATAGTTATCGCACGCGCATCATAACGACTGTAGTTAAGAACGAAGCGAGAAGTAGAGAGAAGAAGCTAGTGACGTCAAAGTGCCGGTGCGCTGCGTTGTAGAACCCTCCGTAGACTTGCAGACCAGCTGTCTCGATGCTGGAAGGAAGATAGAACGAGTTTAGATAAACTATAAAAGTAAATACTACAATAGCTACTGATGCATGTTGAATCGTATGAGCATATGAGTAGAGTCTAAATCCTAAAGGTTTTTATAGTTCACAAAACTCTGTGTTAGCAACATAATAAAAGCCAGACGCACTGGCGTCAGCGTCTCGAATACTAGAACTAGAAACGTTTTCTGCATTTCTACATTTTAGAATTGTGAGCGTCACTCAATTGCCTCTTGCATTGCAACGTCCAGACGTTAAGTACATACTCGTTCTATACTTATAATAAATCTGTAGAGAGGTCAATTCTGTACATGAAATATATTTTCAAAATAACTATCAGGGGGTGATTAGTGATCGATACTGATGCCAAAAATGCAATCAGTAAAATTTTTGTCTGTCTGTCTGTCTGTCTGTCTGTCTGTCTGTCTGTATGTTCCTTATAGACACAAAAACTACACGACGGATTTTAACGAAACTTGGTACAGTTATTCTTCATACTCCTGGGCAGGTTATAGTATACTTAAGAATTCCCACGGGAACGGGAATTAGCGGGAAAATCCTTTTGTATGCAAAATCTAAACCACTTAAGTTAGACGCTTGAAATTTGGCATGCAAGTACCTTAGTAAACTGAGTTACAACAGGATATTGCAAAATTCCCACAGGACCGGGAGTTAGCCGAAAAAAACATTTGTATGAAAAAATCTAAACCGCGTAAGATAGATGAAGGGGGTAAAACGGGATCCACGCGTACGAAGTCGCGGGCGGCCGCTAGTATTAAATAATTCCCTTAAAAACCAGAAGACTGAATCATTATTACGCAAAATTACATCTGAAGAGCCTACTACGGAATTTGTGTTCAAGATTATGTCAATTTTCAAAAATTCAATGAACCCTAAGAACATTATCTTTGAGCCATCATCATCAGTATGATCAGTGATCAGAATTTTTCTTGGATAAAGATATACAGGGTGTTAGGTAAATGAGTATATGAGCCGACACTAGACACATCATCATTTTAATTTTTTAAATTTTCATACAAAATAAATTTTATAAAATCCGATTTGTATGAAAATTAAAATAATTAAAATGAAGATATAAATTTTCTGACTTCACCATACCATTTATATGCCCATGTTAACATGGGCTAGTGTCGGCTCATATACCCATTTACCTAACACCCTGTATATTTGTGATGGTTACCTGAACTTGCAGTAATCGCCATCATAGCTCCAGCCGAGGTACTCCCCAGTCCTGAGGTTCTCGCTTCGCAGCCAGTCTTCGAGTGGCCTGAAGTAGTCCCTCAGGGCTTCACCGTTGAGCCGCCCCTCGCCGATCGTCTCCTGAAGGATCTGCGACCAGGGGGCTGATGACCCTCGCTCCATGATACGTCTGGAAGAGAAATGGCAGTCAATGAGTGATCAAATTGCTGTGTGGTAAAGGTGGAGTGGAATAAAACCACGCCGTAAAAGCCCAGTAAGGTAGTAAACATGCGAACATCAGACCTCCCTAACACATCTGACCAGCGTCAGAAGTATAGACCAAATCCTCTGATAAAATAGAGAGGACTGCTCCTGCGGTAAAAACTAAATGATCTGATGATGATGATGATGATGATGATGGAGGGGATTTGTGATGGTTTGATGGAAATTACCAACTCTTATAAGCAGCTTTATAACTGCGTTGCTATCTGACTTACATAAAAAATGGACAACATGTGATAAAGTTTTTTCGCATACTTTGTTTTTTACTTTATTAGTCTGCAAGCTCAGGGATTGCTAAAATAAAGTTGACATCTGTCTGAAAGTCAAAAGCTTTCAGCAAAAGCTTTTAAAATACGTCTGCTTCATCATCGTGCTCGAAAACTTTTGCTCATAAAGTGTAATATATGGTGACAACTCATATGCACAGGGAGCTTTGGTAACTTTAATTAGGAAACTGTCGTTCTATACGTGTGTGTGTTGACTTGAGAAAGTTCTGGTGATGAATATCATGTGGTTTTTACTAATGGGAATTATTAATTCCATCAGAATTAAAATCTAAGACAACACTTAGTTCTAAGCACTTTTAGTTATAGTAATTCCATGTATGCGTGTTTGTCTTGTTGGTTGTCCTAATAAATAAAATAAAGTAAATAAATCTAACGTCGTTATTTAAATAAACGAATTTCTATGCAATAACACAAGACAACATTATTGTTGTCATCAGAATTATTTTAAGGATTGAGATGATTAGGATTAAATATTTTTGTTTAACTTATGTCGTAGCAGAGTAAATACAAATTAGTAGGTCATCTTCATAGGAACGCACGGGCGCGGTTTGTATGTGAGCGCGCCAACACGTATGCGGCGCGCACGCACACACTGGTCTTAGGTTCTTCGAGTTTAGGTGTCTCGTAAGCTCTTACGGAAAAAATACTATAAAGCAGTTGTTTTTCTGATCTTCCAACTTATTGTGTACATGGTTGGGTTTTTATGGCGGTCAAGCTGTACTGGCGGTGATCCTGGCTACACAGGAGTTGCAGCGGTGGGAACGAGAGGTGGGAATAGTCCAGTACATGTCCTTATCAGTCAGTTTTTAGTATACGAGAGAGACTATAGAAACCTATAGATGAGATTATATTGCTGCAAAGATTCAGGTGCTGTTCGGGAATCATTTACTTTTAAATCCAGCATTCCATATACCGGTGTTTCCCCACACAGCAGTTATTGCATTAGAAACGTCTAGAAAACACGCTTCGGCTCCGATTCGGAATTATTCACAGTTGGAGCCATAATTATTAGTTGTGTATGGATTGCGGGTCTTGTTGAACAATTTAATGTGCGGTTGGTGCGAATTTCGCGGGTATGCAGGGCAAGGCAGTTGGGTAAACAATTGCACGCGTTATACGCTAGTTCCTTGACACACTACGCATTTTATTTGTTTATTTTAAACGATATAATGACCATAATCAAGTATGTTTATCCATGACATGGCAGAGCAAAGCAAATATGAGTATAATAATTTTAAAGTTCGCTATGTGAAATTATTAAATTGACTGCTTGCTAAATTTTTGATGATCTTTTGATGCACTAAGGCTGAGTTGCACCACCTAACTTTGACCGTAAATATGACGATAACCGGTGTTTTTTGTATGGAGTTTGGCAGATTTTTGACGTTTGTCAAAGTAAAATAAGATGGTGCAACCCAGCCTTAACGTCACAATCTAGACAACGAAGAAACATTTTGTGAGGAAAGACTAGGTATGTTTAATTTCAACAAATTATTTAAAGCATGTACTTATGAGAATAACATAAACATCTAAGACAACGTTAACTTAAACATAAAATATTTACTACTTTATATCAATCTTACATCCATCCTACTGACATTTGTACCCGCTAGGATTTGAACCCGCTCTTCTTAAGGCTACTGGAGGGTAATGGTACATAAACCACCAGGCTAAGTGACCGTGAACAAAAGTAGGTTAACCAATAACATAACATAGGAGACTTTACCGGCTCCAATTTCGTTGGAACCAGGCCGCGTAGTGCCGGAAGCTAAGTAAACGTATAACTATAGGCCTTACAGACCCAGGACTATTACATAAGTGAGCATAATGGCTGAAACAATTGACCGGTGGAAATGTACCGTTTGTTTGATCCATTTTTAGACACAAAATTTGACAATCTTCTTCTTCTTAGTCGGGCACTCTTGTCAGAGTGGTCGTGGTTGCGCTGACGAGGTGAGCTGAGGTACATGGTGGGGTGATGTTATCTCCGAGGGTAGCTCTCCTGGCGATGTGCTCCATTTCTGACGGTTAGAGGCGTCGCGAGTACATTGGACCATGGTGGACTCAGTGGCCTTCGTGATGGCGTCTATCCAGCGGGTTGGCTATCGACCGCGTGCTCTCCTGCCTTCCACCTGGCCCTGAACTACCAGTCTCTCCATCGAGTTCTCATTTCTAGAGACGTGACCAAAGAATTTGACAATATTAAGCCGATAACTTTAGTGAAGAGTTGAGTTTCGAGATTTGAGCGTTTTGTTTGAGATTTTGCTGAAAGCTTTTGATTTGAGAGGTAAGTCCGATTGAGTCATTTCAAATGCACCATCTTACTGTAACAATAACTTTCACCAAAAACGGTGTTTTTTGTATGGAGTTTGACAAACTTTTGAAGTTAGTTAAAGTTAAAGTAAGATGGTGCAACCCAGCCTTAGTGTGACATTGCTTGCTGTAAAGTGGCATGAGGAGTGACAGGAACTCAAAACACAACTCATTCATAAATAAACAAATAAACAAACCAGTTCCGAAAATATAGAATTTCTTTTTAATCTCTTGGGAAAAGTAGTACATAAAAGACTCAACCTAAAAACACCCTGTATTTTAAAGTCCTAAATATCCAACCACTGACCGCTCGTTTACATAAGCGAAGCCGGGAGCAGACATTGTCTTACGGTAGTGGGAGTTATGTAACCGAGTCCTAGTTCGGTCACGACTCGGTTGGTTAAATTCAGCGACAATCGATGAAATAAGCCCTTATTTTGAATAGAAACCTTATTTTAACCATTTTACATATTCACTTGTATTTGGAAATACGTTGTAGTGTTGTAAGTGTAGCTGGGGGAGGCCTATGTTCAGCAGTGGACGTCCTATGGCTGAGATGATGATGATGATGAGGTTGTAAGTGTATACCAAATCTTCTATTTGCCAGAAAGACGCGATGAGCTGATTTGTAGAAGTTTTTCATGTATTATTATGTCTACTAATTGGTTGTAGTTAAAACATTACATTAGCTGTACTCAGATTTGCGGAGATTTCATGACTATCTAACGTCAGATAATTCATCTGAATTTAAAACCTGTGAAATATTTCAGATACTTCAATATTGTTGTGTCTCACATGAAGTGTGTTTGTTTATAATAAACCATTTTCATTGAAGAGGCATCTTATGTTTGTAACAAATACAAATACCTATTATAACTTGATAAAATGCTGTTATCTGTACTTATATTAATAAACATAGTGAAATAACATTTGCTGACGTAATAAATTCAAAGCTCTCAGACCACAAGACTAAAACCGTCGGTGGAACCAAGAAAGCAGTCTTAAATTTTATCCAAACATAAATGACAATCTAAGCCCTATATTTGACATTACAATCGGCATTATTTCTACCAATATTGTAACTGGACAATACTATTTCGATATGACATACATCTACATTTCGGAATAAGATATCTATTGAAACAAAAACATTATTTTAGACGTTTGTATAAGCCGTAATTTGTGAACAGAATGTAATTGTTTGTTAATGGTCCATACATAGTGTAATAGAAAGGTAAAATATAGATCTCTATTTGAATTTAGTGACTAAGGGAGCACAGAGATGGGTTAAGGTGGATCGAAAATGAAAACAATGTAAAAACAGAGAGACTTTATTAGTGGAATGATTCCGGTAAGCAGTCTTCGACGTAACTCGAAATACAAATATGGATACTAATATAACACCAGTAGGCCTAAGATGCGCGCAGTGATAACTTTTATCGACGTCAAAATGTATGGGCAAAATCGATAAAATGACGTGATAACCGCTTATCGCGGCGCGCATCTTAGGCCTACAGGTCACTTTGGATGTCACGAACTATTTGACGCTGACTGTACTACTCTAATGTTCCATAGGATTACATGACATGCTAGCTGATTTAACAGTGTCTGTAAAAATATAAGCTCAAAACAAAAAACTAACTTTAAGTTGTTAGGCTGAAAACGAGTTTAGAGCGTCACATTGTTGTGGTGACTGAGTTTGTTGCGGCGCTTCTTCTCAGCACTCGCCAAATGTTGGTCTCAGAGGCGTTGGTAGGGTAAAACGATTGAGACATGTAAGGCTCCTTCAGAGCAATATATTTGACGATTTGTAAGTACTATTTATTAGTCTAAACAAATAAAGAGACTTTGAAGAATTTGACTTTGATTTTGACACATTACATTACGGGCCATAAAATCTTTATAATGTTATCCATAGATTCAAGCCTGTGATAAGTCGGATTTCAATATTTAGATGAATTGATTGAAAATAGGGCCTGATTTCGGCCCTGGTCCATTACGGCCGGTCTTCGCGGTCAGAAGCATGGGCCGTTGTTTTGTAACCGGCCCATATACCCGGCTTCCTGCAGCCCGCACAGATGTAATTAGGACTGCCAAACGGTCACGTTGCGGGATAAGGGCCGGCGCACACTTGCGACTGTCTGCAGGATAGCAAAGTAAGCCAATATACATACGTCCTGGTTCAGGGCACAGGCGTCGTCAAACCAAGTGTGGGATGGTTCGGGCTATACTTTAGCAGGTGCAAACTGCATTTTTAGGGTTCCGTAGCCAAAATGGCAAAAACGGAACCCTTATAGTTTCGTCATGT